TAACCAGGATTTTTCGTCGCACCCTCACAATCTGCCGTGATAGCAGACCATACTTCGTCGCCTCGCAGCAAACTTGTGGTAATTTACGATTCCGTTTCCCGCAGGGCCACTTCTTGTAGAGTAACTTGACACAACATAAATGAACTTGGTTTACTTTTCTACGTCGGTGCTTTGTTTACACGGTGCTTTCGCTGTCTCGTCAAAGGATTCTATTGATTCTATCCAGTGACAATAATTTCAGCTCTCTTCCCAGTTCGCGGACTGGGTTTACGCATCCACTTAATTTCCTGGAGACCATTCCCCACTTTGCTGGTACCGAGCAAAACTTCCCCTCCTCCGCTTGCAGCCGCCTTCACCCCGGTGTGCACCAACGAGCTGGCCGTCGTCACTGAGTATTAGTGTACGTCCAAGGAGCCTGACGTCAAGCTCACAGCGAGCGTGACGATTAAGTTCCTGCTTCCCGGAAAAGCAGGATTCCGGCATCATGTTCAAGGACGTGGAGACATCTCCTAAGTCGTTCTCCCGGGAAACGTGTCTGGGTTGCTGGACTCGCTCCTTCCAAATCCTTTCAGTTCCGGTGCCGCTCGCAGCATACACACCTGACCGCCTAGGAACTGTTACCATAGCCCACAGAACTTAAGCTGCTCTCGCCCTAACTTCCTCTCTGTTCGAGTCCCGCGAAGCACTTGCGTCTGCTCGAGTGCTGCTCAATTCGATTCAGGCTCAGCGCACCAAAACTCGCCCAGTCCGGCATTTCAGCGCCGCTCGAGCGCGCCACGGAGCTGGAGCGCGAGCGCCCCCTGCGCGAGCGCCTGTCGAGACGTTCAGCACGGGGACCCGATGTCGAAGCTGAATCGGTGGAAACGCGGCAACAATGTTCGGACATACTGGATGGAGAAGAACGCCCAAAACAAGTGTAGTAAACTGTCAATGACAAGCCGTTTCTAGATTTCGACGCCGCGCTTGTTTCGAAGCATGGCTCCGATCTGTAGGAGCTCTTCTTGACCACTCATCAATGTCAATCAGGTCTGACCGTCTTCTCTTGGAGACGTTTGAGGTTTCCAACTCTTTTTCCTTGTAAAGGAAGGTATCGCAAGGCAAAAGGGAATACAAGCCGCAGCTTCTTTTTCTCCTTCCATGAGTTGCTCTGTTTATAGATTCTACTTCAGCTGACGTCTCGCGAGATGAGACTTGAAAGGCCCAGGCAGCGCGTCGGCAGGTTCTCCTCTCCTGGAAGTCCGGCTTGCTCATTAAGAGGTTCGAGCCGGTGCCACTGAAGGCCGCGCGGGCGCGGTCATGGCCCATGTTGGCGGCAGCCCGGTTCTGATTACCCCCGCAGGGCCGCGACCTGAAGTTGGAAGCGCCCATCGACCGAAACCAACAACAAGCTGTAGACCGAGGGCCTCGGCAGTCTAGTGGAAGACTTATCACGCATACAATGGAGTACGGATCCGACGCATGGCTGCATGCAGGATTCGCAAGTAAAATGCAACCGCGGTTCGAAGTCGCTGGATTTCGGTAGCTATGCGAGGAGTTAAGCGTCGAATGGATTGGATGTACTGACAATACATACGAGCAACTTGTCGTGTTTGGATATACAATGAACACGTAGCAGTGAATCTCTGCATACTAGCAAAGAATTGGTTGTGAGCCAAGGGCTCCCAACCGATCAAGTTTTAACATGCCACACATCATTTGCAGACCTGGTCTGAACACACTGGTCAGCAGCTTGATCGGTTTCTTCTGCGTCCAACCGTTAGACAATACAGATCTTTCTCGAATGGCAACCTGTCAACCAAGTCATTGCAAGCCGCAATCATTGCACTGATAAAGGTTTCAGTGTGTGGAGTCATATCGCCCACTTGATCCTGTGCTCCGCAGACAACTTCGGAGCGTCCCTTCAACGCATATGCAGACGGCTTTCAGGGCCAAGCTTTCAATGACGATCTCTTCTGACTCTTTCATGTTCTCTTGTCGCGGACAAGGTATATATCGATCGAATCTTGTTGCAAAAGTGGAGCATCCTTTTAAAATTATTACCTTCACCAAATCGAATCTATCGTTACGATTTGCAAATCTCAACCGCGGCCCTTTACCAAACCGAAATCGTCGTTGGGATTTGCACTCATACGGCTCACAACTAACACTACGTCTTGAAGAATCAAGCCTTAGACGAGTGGGTGGGGGCTTGATCATTTGCAAAAGGCAAACTCCGAATATTATTATTGAGCCATTATTCTTGCCGATCTTGAGTCCCCAGCAGAGATGTCAAGCGCGTGCCACGTACTCTGTAAAGCATCACTTCAAGAGTCCTCAACCTAGTCTGAAACACCAGACGTGAGGCGTAAACTCCGCGAAAGCCACGTTCACTGAACTTGGACGAAGTTCTCCCTTGAGGTATTGACTGGCTGATGCAGAAGTATGCTCGATCCCAAAGCACACGCTATTTGGCCATCTCTGATACCGTCCCGGCACTATTGCATCTACAAATACCTCGCAAAGCTAGCTACAGAAGCCAGCTCGCAGCAACTACGGCTGATCACACCTCTACACGCCTTTTCAGCAAGATCTACCCCTCGGGAGAATTCCGGCCCGGAATATGCCAAAGGCTCTGAGCGTCTCACATTCTAATTCGACCCCGGTATGACTATCCATCTGGGCAAAGTCCAGTTAGGAAAGGTGGAGTCTCTTTCACAGAATCCCGCTCTTTGGAAACGGTGCACCAACCTGGTCACGTGCAGAAGGGTTCCGCTGCGGGTTCCGATGGGCAGGACCCGCGACAGCAAACGGAGGCCGAGCCAGCGGCGTTGAAGCACTGGCGACATACAGAACGACACGTGTCAACACGGTCCCGGAGAGCGGTCAGCTGTGAACGGACCACTGGCGACTCCATGGGGCAAAGGCAAGTGTCCATTAAAGTTCGAGAAACATAAGCAAGGTAGATTACGATACGGGCACAGACACTGAATCAGAAGAATTTTCGTACCCCAAAGACCTACGTGCTCCGCACCCGTACCGACATTGACCCCCAAAGTAACCCCACCCGTCTCCCGGGCTTGGCCTTCTTATTCATGTGGCTTACTTCTCAAAGAATCGAGACTTCTCTTGTGTCCTGCTAATGAAATACCGACGACGTACACGGGGGAGGACATATCAGAAATAATTACGCAGCCTCCTATAAACCATCACCGGCGGGGCGTGTTCTGACCTGGTTCGGCTTCTCCGACTGCGGGTCGCACAGTGCCCCGGGTGCCGGCGCCGGCGCGGGGCCCGGACCTCCCGTCGCTCTAGGCGTTGGTGTCGGACTTTGGCCAGACTCTCCGTTGCCAGGAGGTGGCCCTGCAGTTGCCCCGGTCGCTGTCGGCGTCGGGGTTGGCGTCTGGTCAGACTGGGTGCTTCCTGGAGCTGGCCCAGGAGAGGCCCCAGTTGCTGTCGGTGTCGGTGTGGAGGTCTCTTCAGACGGCCCGGGAGCTGGGGCTGTGCCCGGTACCTCGGACGCCGGTGGGGTCGGCCCAAGAACGGGTGCCGGTGCGGACGCCGGGGGAGGCGCCCCAGGGGACTGAACCGGGACGGGGACACCGTTGACCTGGAGGGTGGAGGGAGTTTTCATTTGGAACCGAGGGCACGCCGAAAAGGCCTGTGTCATGTAGTCAAAATCACGGCTCTTACAGGTGAAAGGTTTGCGCAAGCGCTCAGATGTGAAAACCTCCAAGGGGTTTAAACACGATTAGTTGGGAAGGTGAATGTGACTCGACAGATACCATGACCAGGGATTATAAGACTGTGCTTATCATGGAGCACTTGCTTTTGCACCGCTTGTGTACTTTGAAGATGGAGCGCACCGGAATGGATTGTGCTTTCCGCGTTTAAACAAACCTGTTCTTGAAAGAAGCAACATGCACCCGGAAGATTGAGCTTCAGCCACGGGCCGGTCCTCAAGAGGGGCAGATCTCTAAGAGGGGCCAATGCAAAAGAAAAGGCAACACGGGCGCTCTCCGTCGGGTCTTGTCCTTGTTTTGGGGCTGGACTAGATCTCTGTCACGACGATGAAGTATGAATTCCGTGCCGCTCACACTCAGTCTCGTTGGCCCTACGCCCCTGTTCCTCACCACCTTTGGTGGCTTCGCTCTTTATTTTTCTTATTATCAACCTCTCATTACGGGCTACTTTTGAATGTGCGCTGAAAGTGATGAGAATTTCCAAAAGGCCTCCGTCTACAGACATGCTCGGGCGGCTTTTATGCTGCTCGTAAAATCAAAACATGAATATCAGCACCTTAAGCTCAGGCTAAACATATTCCGCCACGCTGTCGTGACATTTGATATGATCTTTCCGCTGAGTCGGCCTCCATCTCAAGCACTTTCCCCTCAACGAATTATTGTCTGAACGTCTTTCCGGTTATCGGCAACCCGCAAATCGTGACGTCAGCCTACCTGGAGCTCCAGGTGGTTGGCGCCGCTCTTGGTCGTCAGCGACGCCGCGCATGACGTTGTGAACGACTTGGAGAAGACCGTGCTGACGTAGCAGTACGTCCCCTGTGCGCGCTCGGGGGTCAGGTCCAAGATGACGTAGCCCTTGCTGTTCCACTCGAGGTAGCGCTGGTGCGGGTTGTCCTGCTGGAACACGGGCGTCAGCACCTGCGCCACTTGCTCGGCGGCCGTGCCCGGGCCGCCGGGGCCGCTGCAGGCGAAACACAAAGAGGCGTGTTAGAATCTTCGATCTTGAGCCATGGGAAAGCGTGCGCAGCAACTGTAATATCTGGTCTGGATGTGCTAGAACGGCGCTGCCACGACCAAAGCGGTACATGCCGCAAAGAGGTGTCCATGTCTGGCCTATGAAACAGAGCCGCTTGCCGCCCCGTTGACGTCGGCTTCGAGAGCAAGGCGACGTGTCAAGCTCAGCTGTAAGCAGCTCACTAGAACGTCTCGATGCTCGACGGTGACGACACGGCTGTCGTCAGGAACTCGACGGCGAGGGACCCCGCGCCTGTGGCCGGGTCGTACGCGCACGCGGCCGCGTCGCGCGTGGCACAGTAGCCCCCCGGATAGGCGAACCGGGGCAGGTCATTGGCAATGGACGAGTGCGTGTCGCCCGACAGGAAGACCACGTTGTCCATGTTCTCCGCCTGGAGCTTCGCCAGGATGCGGTCACGGTTGTCTGCGAAAGAGGGCGCGGCGCGCGCATCAGCGGGTTAGTCTGTAGGATGCGGTCGGTTCTATGAGAAAGGGATGGGTGACGTCGCGATTGAGCGCGCGCATCAGCGTGGCGGTTGAAAATCTCGCCGCGCGTGGTCCGCTGGAAAGTCTTGAGAGCCAAGGTGGTCGAATCTTGGCGGACATCATTTGGAAATCGGCGCCACTTGAGGTCCGATCATAGCGCCTCGCTTGATGCCCGCATATGCCGATGATCCGCTAGAAAAGCATAGCAGACAACCAGAGGCCGTTTTGTATCGTTTCCGTTTAGCACAGAATAACACCCTCATATGACTCGCGGTACAAAGCGGTCAGATGTTGAGGCGGGAAGGAGGGCAATTCTGCATACCGCTGAGCAGGCAGCCATCCTGAGAACAATTGAACGGTCGCGCGCAGCAGGCAGTGTGGAATCCCTGTCTTCCGCACTGCCTGCGTCTCAGCTACACGGAAGCATTTTGCATTGCAGAACATTCGAATCGCACGCAGGGCTTACGCGTTTCACCACGCTAGCCTTTGGCAGAGCCCGCCAGCGCTTACCGGCATACCCGTCCCACGCGTCGAAGTTGATGACGGGCGTTATGCCCAGCTCCGGACGGCCTCTGGTGAGGAACTGTCCAAGCACGACCTGCTGTCCGATGACCTTCCATGTGACGGCGCGGGACTGGTCCAGCTGCGCGTACAGATACTGCTCCTGGTAATCGCCCAAGATGGTCCTGTGCATGGACAGCGGTTTCAAGACTAGAGTGCGACAAAATTAGTGAGCAACTCACCCTGGGACGGGTGGGTTTACTTTGGGGGTTAGGTGGGCATGCGGAGGAGGTAGGTTTCGGGTTTGTGTTTTACTGTGTTAGCTGGGAGCTTCCTATTCCTGAGCCCTTTCTATTCTTCTCTGTGGCAGAAAGGCTAAGCTGAAAGTTTCTCGACAATAGCAAAGGGGGTTTGCAAGAGGCATTCTGAGACGCTGATCCTGATCACCTTGACTATGTTATATCAACCGGAGTACGTGAAAAGCATTCGATGTTGCCAGCAGTTCCTTCTATTCGATACGGACGGATCCTGGTCACTGAGCGAGAAAGCTCCCTCCGGCGATAAAAGTTGAAGTCCCAATCAACGCTCCAAACCCTGAACAACAGGCCCGATCGACGATCCAGGAACGAACGTTGGCGCCCGGACACATCAACGCTCCGATTTGTTCGACAACAGGTCCGGCGAACGCTCCAGATTCGTCGTTGACTAAGCTCGCCCACCTGCCCGGAGAGGTGGCGACCGCCAGCTGTGCCGCGGTGTTGTTCACGCCGGGAAACGTGGGGTCGTCGACTTGGATCTGTCGCCCGTACACTCGGGCGTCGAGCATGGTGAGGTGGACCAGGCTGCCGAAGTTGAAGGAGCGGAAGATGCGGGCGGGGTCGGTGGGGTCAACCTGGCCGACCGGCATGTACTCGAAGTAGGCCTGCATGGCGGCCGACTGCGGCCGGTGCAAGGCACCGGGGTAGGGAGCCGTTAGTGAACGTCGTATTGGGGAAAGTTTCGATGAGGCATCCTACAGTCGAGCCTGTTGCGAACACCGGCGCCAACAAACTTTGACGCAGACCGCAATAGCTCTGACCTGAAAATCTCCTCTGATCAAACTAGAGTAACCGCAATGACTGCCTTGGCCAGTCGCTTCGCAAGCTGCCCGGGCCACGAACACACCTTGCAGGCAAGGCTTTGATACCAGTTCCAAGAGAATTGGAAAAGAACCGTTTCATTTTTGACTCCGAGCTGTGCACAAGATGTGTCCATGTAGCAGGGCCTTACCTTCCGAGCAGCCCAGGAACCCTCGGTTGCCGGGTTATGGTTTGCGGCACCGCCGGCCCAGGCGTTATCCGCAAAGTCGTGGTCGTCCCAGACGGCGACCCATGTGTGCTTGGCGTGGGCTGCTTGGGCGCCCTCGTCAGTTTTGTACTGGGCGTGACGGGTCCTGTAAGGGAAAGGAAAATTGTGGTCCGAGCGGCTGGAATAATCAAGCCGGAGGTCGGCACTCATCAAGGCGTTCAAAGTTCCAGCAATTCTGAAAGTCCCCAGGTCATGACGGCTTTGAGAACGCGCCCTCAGGGAGCATTAAAAGCATTTTGATTTCCTTAGGAGCCTGAGGTTGTAAAGGCATAATGGTGCCCTGGCCTCAAAGACGGAGAAAAATGCTGCGCAGCGAGCTCAAGGGCGGGAACGGACCCCACTTTCGTATTTGGAGTTTTGTTTGCAAACGTCGATGCCATCGCCGTTCGGATGGTTTATTTACGAGCCTGATGCATTCTTCACTCAGACGTGCAATTGCAGTGCGAAGAAGGCCGACGTCTCAAGGAAACACAGCAGTACCAAGGGGGTCACATTGCTTCATTCTATGTCTTGATAAGCGATTGATGAGTGACATCACTGCCTGGAGAAACGGACGCTGTGGATCTGGGGGTTGGCAAGTCAGCGCTAGATGTCATAACGGGGTCCATTTCCAGCGAGTCGTTCTTTGGTCTATCAGAATCACTTTCTAAGCGCTCATCCTAGGATCAAGAACCATTCTGAAGCGCCCGCCAAACCAGACTTCGCCACCAAGTGAGGCCAGCATTTTCCGAGCCCGTGCCAGTGGACTCAGTGGAGTGGCAGGGACATGTCACCGTTTTGTGTCTCCGTGCTTTTAGCAAGCCCCGCTTTGGGCCGCTTTCCGACCTTCTTATGGCCTCATTCGGGTCCCCTCGGACGCGCAACATGCAAACCAAGCCGCAATCCCTGCTTCGTGTCTTACCGGTAGTCACTCAGAGTGACGAGGTCCCTGTCGGGCTGCGGCGCGCGGGAGGGGTCCACCGCTGCAAAACCCGTCCCGAACTCCCCCGACTTATACTCGTAAATGTAGTCCCCCAGGTGGAGAACTAGATCGACGTCTTGGGACGCCACGCTCTGGTATACGTTGAAGTAGCCCGCCGGGACGTTGGAGCACGAAACGACCGCAAAGCGGACGTGGCTGACGTCACCCTGCTGCAGGGTTTTGAGGCGGCCTGGAGGGGTGGGGGATGTGGGAGGTGAGCGGTGGGAGTGCATAGAGGATGACGTGAGCTTGAGCTGGTAGACTTGTGGAGTGGGGAGCTGAGTTGTGGGGAGTACTCATGAGGAGTTGTGATGTTCAAGTACTGAAGAGACGTTGTACGCTCCAGTCGCCCCCTCTCTCACAATCTCAAGGGCGGTCTCTGCAGCACAGAGACGAACGCTTACCGGACTTTGAAGGTCTTGACGACGTCCAATGGAAGAGATTGCGGCGTACTTGTTTCACAAAAAAATGGTGGTCCACGAATGCTTCACAAAATACCAGAACTTGGCTTTCCAAACCAAATGAGGCATCACAAGAGATATCAATGTCTTAGACAACTTGGACATGTTGCACTGCCGGCTCCCGTATGCCGGTGAATGATCCGGACCCCTAGTATGTGCCAAAAGTTGGACTCTATGCCTCGGCACGGTTCAAAGCACAAGTGGTGAGAAGCAACAATTTGAACAGGGCAGCAAATCCGCTGGCCTCGAAATCAACCTGACACTCACCAACAGGCGACTTGACATTTCCCGCTTCGTCCGAGAACTGGTAGTAGTAGAACTGGCCACCCAGCTGCAGCCCCCCCACCGTCACCTTCACAGTGAAATCTACCGCCGATGACGTCAGCGTACTCCCTGACATCACCACGTCGTTCATGCCCTCGTCGCTTGCGACTGCAAAGTTCACAACAATGCTGCCCGGGAGGTCACTCGCCGGGGTGCCTTTAGTCCACAGGATCGCTGTCGCTGCGTAGGGGTACGTTGTGTAGTCCACCCCGGGGTCACCACTGGCCACCCCGTGCAGGAATGCCACAGCGGACGCTTCTGCTGCCAGCAACTGCCGCGCTGCCCGGCGGGGGTGCGCTGGGTACGGCTTCGCAAGGTCGGGGCGTGTTGTGAGGGGGGAGAGGTAGTTCAGGTTGGGAGTGGAAGCTGCTTGGGAGGCAGGCACCCCAGCAGTAAGGAGGGCGGCCAGCAGGGAAAGGAAACGAAGGAGGCATGGCCGCGGGGCGTTGGTACTGCGGCCACGTGACACCATTTTGGTACGCGTCTTGGGGGCGTTGAAGGGGATCCAAGGGAGCAAATGCTGCGTTGACTTTTCAGTTGCAATGTGCTGCGTAATATTTCAGTTGCAGCTTGCTGTGGGAGCTCATGTGCGTGCGCTGCACTGAACGGGCGCAGAAATGGCTACACTCTACTGATCAGCTGATTAACTTTATTCGTAAGAATGTGCTGTAGTTCGACATATTGCGTAGTTGTTGCATGGCGCGTTGGGGCTTGCCACGTGGCCGGGGATTCTGTGCTCGCTTTTCGGAATAAAAGGAATGAAAGGGGCCTTCTTTTGCCTTGAATGGTCATGGGACTCGGATTTCTCCAGGTGAAACAGCTAGCGGCCACACTACCTGCTGTGCAATGTGTGGCGGGCGTCTTGACCTTAAGACCTTGTGCTCACAGGGGTCGAGCTTATACTGGCTGATCACCTGAACTGTTTAACCCCTGAGCTTATATTTGAAAGGCATTGAAGCTACAGTGCACGAGATCAATGATGACACCAGCGTAGATAGCTGGGAGTTTGTCAGTTGCAAGCCGCCGGAAGTGGTAGAACGAGGGCTTATCATCAGAGCCTACCAGAAACATAAGTCCTAGTTGGACGGATCTCGACCGGGCCAGTGCCCCTCATGTGGAGCAAGGCTACTGGACCTGTCACCAAATCTTCGCTCCTGAGAGTCCGGGCTAAGCTCGTCTCAGATCAAAAATGTTCACACCATATAATCGCCAGACGCAGATCGAATGGACATGCAGTCACTGGCGCCGGCTACCTGATCTCAGCTCGACAGACGCTCAGTCATGCTTAGTCATGCTTAGGTCAGCCTGTAAGTCGGCTGCACTCGGTCGCAACAATTGGCTAATGTCTTCTAGGCATAGTCATTGTATATACTTAGCTAAAATAATCAAATTATCTTGTATCGCTGAAAATACATTCTTATGCGCCATAGCTTAATAATTGACCTGATTGCACGGAGAGAAGCTTGCATACGGTATGAAGCTCATGAACAATCTCATGTACCTACCTATTCGATCAAGCACCATGATAGTACATACCGGTATTTCGGGGCTGAGCCGGGCTTCTGACAAGAAATGTGCGGGTGCATCCCCTTCAGCATTACCGGAGCTCACATTTGCTGCGGCGTGGTGGCACTAGGACTACGGTACCTAGCTTTTACCGGACGTACCTGTTTCCATGTAGCGTACTGTACTTGACAGCAGAACGGATGGAAGGAGAACGTGGACCGCAGTTTGCAATCCCGGACCCCCACACCGCTTGGTACTCTTTGCGGGAAGACCGGTCTGGTAACGTAACCGCCGGCGAGGTTTAGCAAGCCCGAAGCTGGCGACCTGCATATTCATCTGCAGCCAATAACTCGGCCGCGAAAATCGCACCGGCGGGTCAGACCATGAAGTAGTACGTACCGTTCGCGCGAGCACTGAGTCCGAAGCGGTGTGGGGGTCTCCGCGTTCTCCGGCCTTCCATCCGGTCTGACAGCTGGTGGCCATGTACCGATCACGAGAACTTCGTGAAGTGTGCGACCAACACTGACAGCGCATTGTGTAGTACGGTATGTAGCGTTAGCGTACCTACTGGAAGCTAGAGTACCGTAAGGTATTCAGCAGGTACAAGAGTTCACAGTAAGTACTACCGGTAGGTATTAGGTATCTACAACCGGTAACTACCGTACAAGAGTACTTAAGCTATTCAAGTACCGGTACATTGCAAGCAGCGCCTGGTTAGGTAGGTACATGACATTGGTAGGTGGAGCAACTGATCGCCCATGGATCAGTCATAGCGGGCTCGTGATTTTACTAATATGTACCTAGATGTTCCGAAAGCCACTGATTTGATTCACTAATTTGATTTACTAACTGGTCGCTCGATTGAACGGACGGGTGGGCATGCCCAAGTGTTACATATGACGTAGGAATAATTCATTCATGCAAGTTGACCTCGGCCAGCCCGGGCCGGGATCCGGCGGGATGGCCGCTGGGGCTGCATGTGGGGCCTCGGCTCCCTTATATTAGGGGCCGGCGCCCGGCCGCCCCAGGTCCCCGGGATCAGGGGGCGGCCGGGCCCCTAATATAAGGGGGCCGAGGCCCCAGGGGCCAGGGCCCCGGGTCCTGACCAAGGATTCCGTACGGACTGTACGGACACTGGCGCTGCCGGCTCTGCAAGACCTGCCAAGACGTACACGGTACACTATCCTACTACACTGGCAGTGCGAAGAGTCCAAGACCGCCGAAGACCGCAGGGCAGTGTGGACTCATATCGATTTCGTCGGCTCATGAACCGGACGGTCGGCTTGTTGTCGTCTACCGTATGTACACCTCGTTTCTAGCTACCATACCTCGATTCTACGTCGGCTTTCGGCCGACGCCCCTCGGTTGAGACGGCCGGGGCATTCTGTCAGTGCCACGTGTCGAACACTATGATCGAGTGGCTGAGCCCGCAGTGCGCGCCGCGATAATTTTGACGTTACCTACCGGTGGCATGCATGGAAAGTACGGTCGGAATGATCGGAAGAACGTCCCGGTTTGAAAATCCGGTCACCTGTCAAAACGTGCGCGCACGCGGTCGAAATCGAACGAACACTCCGGCTCGTAGGTCGAACACTCTGGAAGGGGGTGTCCAGATAGTGTCGGACCCGGCTGCATAACTCCGGGGGCTGAAGAGGACCGTGAAGATAGTGGTAAAGCCACCCGGTCGATACAATGAAATGCCACGTGGCACAGGCACTTCATCTTGGTGCAGTCTTTCCGGGGGCCGGGCAAGGTTCAATAATCTTTTGCGTGCATCGTTGTCAGAAATTAAATGGGCATTCGATACGCGATCTTCAAAACTCCTGGGAGCGCCGACGATGGGTGACGGCATGACGACGTCGGACCCAGCGGTGCCGACATCAGCAATTGATGTGGATCCATATATAATGGGCCGGGGCCGCCTGTTATGGGTTATGTTTGGAGTCTGGAGTCGGACTCTAGATTAAATCATTGATAGCTCAGACACTGGACGTGGCGGGGCCACGGCCGTGATATACCGGTATGTTGATCCAGCTAGCTCCGGCCTACTCCGAACATTCTGGTCGGTGAACTCCAACTCGTCCAGTACAGCAGCCTCGTACTTCAAACATACATCAGACTGTTGAATGCTATTGTCACCAGATAACTTCAGTTTTGTGGTCCAGAATCGCGGCTGGCCTAGAATCCGAAGTGGCCTCCCAATTATGTTTCTTTGACAACGATCTTCTAGCACCACTGTACTCTCCGCAGCGCTGATGCGTGAGGACGTACCACACTGTTGTGTCAAGCGAGCGGCGGATTGGTCTGCAAAGTGCACTGTGTGAGCTACACTGGTGCTGCTTCTTGCATTTCCTCCCAGCGCCTGCCTCGCTTCTGAATGCTCACTGCTCACAGACACTGTCAGAAGGTGGCAACGCCGGAGCGCCATGCTCCTTTGATAGGCAGTGCACACGCGGCTCTTCAACAACCAGACTCTAGCTGATTCTTCTTTTTCTTCCATTCTGTGCAAAACTGCCACGCTTTTAGTGTGGCCTCACTACCACTGAAAGCTAACAACGGGCGCAGCTCTCAATGACTTAGTCCTACCACTGTACAATAGCCTGCCGCTGGTATCATTTAACGTTGTCCAAGTGCTGGCGCAAGTTTCCTCACCGGACGTCCTAGCACTGGTGCATCTTCCCTCACCAGACGTCCGCCGCCCAGTGCTATGGCATTCGGCGGCGGTCCAAAGCCCGGGGAGCCGGTCGTCGGGTGGTGCGACCTGGGCTTTGCGGTGATGACGCCCGGGTGGAAGGAGAAGCAGGTGCTGACGTCACTCACCGGGTTCGCGCGGGCAGGGAAGGTGCTGGGGGTCCTGGGGCCATCGGGGTCGGGGAAGGTGAGCTTGCGTGCGGGGCAGAGCTGAGAGACTGGTGTGAGACATGTTGTCATGTTACAGAGCGTGCTGCCAGTGGTGAAAGTGCGTTCTGGACAAAAGTGCTAGCTTGTGTGAAAGCTGGGCTAAGTTTGGGGTCTGTGCCTGTGAGTGAGCACAAATATCCTCAGTACAAAACCCCCTCCTAAGGTCCCCTGTGACAGTGAACAAGCCAGATGATTGAACGTTGGTGTAAACGGGCAAGTGAAACCTTTGATCTGCATGCGCTAGCTCAGCCAGTCCTTTTGGGGGGGTTGAGCTGAGGGTTAGCTGGTGGGGAGGGCTTGTTCGGTGGTCTGATTGGAAGCCTGACGGAGACGCAAATGTGACATTTCCTCTGTAAGGGCCGTTGCCAGGACACGATGTTGGGGGCGTGGCGCAGAATTGGGGGCTAAATTTGCAGCGACACAGACCCGCATGAACTTGCAACCCCTGGTCGTCAGCAAACATCACTCAAACATCAGTCCCTGTGCTTGGGAAATGCTTGAAGCAGGGGTAGGGATTTGAATGGGGTAAGGCACACTCATTGCCAACCCCCCGGTCCCCCGGTCTACTTTTCTGGACTTGTTTCCGCACCCTAAATTACAACAGCCGGGAGGGCCAGAAAATTCTGCCATTGGAGAATATTCTGATTCCTGGACGCCCCGATGAATCCTCAACTCCTTTTCCGCAGAGTACGTTCCTGAGCCTGCTCGCCGGTCAGCTGGGCTGCGGCCGTATCACATCGGGGGAGGTCCGGAGCGCAATCGACGGTCAGGAGGACAGCGACATGCTCATGTACCTGGTGCCGCAGGAGGACTGCCTGCAGGCCCACCTGACCGTGCGCGAGCTGCTGACCTACAGGTTGGGGGGGGATGTCACACCAAATTCAGGGTTCTAGTGCGGTGGAGATGCGCATGCAGTTGTTGTGTTGACATCTGGCCTCAATTCGTGTGTCGATCTGGAACTGATCTGGACCATCCAAGAATCGAGAGGTGGGGGGCTGCTACTGCATGTTTGGCGCGTACTTTGAAGTCTTTAGTGTGGCTGAGATTGGCGCATGCAACCGTTTCAGGTTGATCTGGTGGTAAAGCTGGTGTCAAACTGCTGGAGATTCAGTGTCGATTTTAGTTGTTCTGACCGATTGAGAAGTGCCGACCAATACGTAGATCAGGATGCGTCAGGCCCCTCGTGAGTAGACAAAGTTGTTTGGTTGTTCGACACAAACAAACATTGACGTCCAAGGCCCTGCGTATGGTGATGAGCGCTTAAATGACGACAGTAAATTTGTGATTTGAGCCTAGATAATTGAACATTTTTAAAGATTTTCCGCTTGTTTTGGAAAGCGTATGGGCGCACCGTTCTGGTTTGAAGTGGCGTGTTACATCAACAGCAAGTTGGGGCCAGAAGCGGCGCAGCTTTTAATTGTTAATTTAAACCCCGGAGTCTGGATTATTGCCAAGGACACGTATAGTGTGGATCTGCGGGTTCGTGAAAAGGAGCCGCGTTAGCCTTTACGTCTCAATCCCATTCTGGGGATGCGTTGGACGGTCAATCGAAGTCAATTCCACTAAAAACTTTCCTATGATTATCTCTATGGCACTTCTTACAGAATCTCGAATACTTGGAGCCACAACTTATCTCTGCGTCTTGCGTTTCGCTCCCCTGAACGGGTTACTTGTACTCGGCCTGAATTACCTCAAACGAATGAGTGACCCATTAAGCTCGTCGGTGCTCAATTCCCCACCCCGTGGCGTACTTCTTCAAGGGACGCCAAAACGACGTCATGCTGACGTTGTTCCAAATCCGATTCCCCCAGCGCCCGGTTACAGCTCCCGAGGGCGCGCCCCAAAGTCATTGCCGCCCGCGTGGAGGCGACAATCGACGCCGTCGGCTTGACCAAGGTTGCGCGCTCGCGCATTGGTGGAGTGGCCGGAACCAGCGGCGGGGCACCCCGGGGGATCTCGGGGGGGGAGCGGAAGCGGCTCGCCATCGCTGGGGCGCTGCTGTCAGAGCGCCCGGTGCTGCTTCTGGACGAGGTAAGTAGATTCTCACAAACTTAGCTGGAGTCTGATACACTTGGGTCGACCCCTCAGTCTGCTCCCCGGGGGGTCAGCAAGCTCGCTCTTCATTGCTTAACTAACCAGAATTCAATGACGTTGGGCGGACTCCCGCTGTCCTTCTTTTGGACAAGGTCAGCGAGCTTTTGGTTTTTGTTGATATGCCAGCACCAATTCTTTGAAAAGAATCTCCAAGGACGAGGAGAGTGCGCCGTTTCGCAAGTGGGTCTGCGGACATGGAAATCATCTCGGGAAGTCTGCACAACCGACAGTCCGGAACCCGTTTGCCTGTTGCCGGGGCCAGATTCAGGTTGTCGAACTGTACTCGTTGTGAGTCCCAAAACAGGAACGAACTATAGTCGACTCTCTCAAACTTGACCAGTGATGAACGTCTTTTCCGTTTCTCTCTGATGGAGCCTTTCAATCAGCTTCAGTGTACCGCTTTCTGCCCTCTAGTTTCCGACATGCCACGCAGCCGCCGCCGTGTTTGATCATTCGACTGCCTCTAAGCCACAAAGCACACTGTGCACATTTGCACGATGTACGTGACAACGGAACCGTTGAGCCCGGTGCAAGCCTGTCTGCTTCTTTTGGTGCAGCGCTTCCCTACTTCACCCGCTCGATCCTGCGCACTCCTTAACGTCCGGCCCGGATTGCTCTACCCGTTTCGAGTCGTAAAGCCGTCGTATGCATATTTACGCAGACAATCGACCCCATTTCCCCCCGAGCAAGTGTCTCAGCCAGCTTCGAGATCCCGCCATTGCCTGTCCTGACATGCTTCTGAAGATCCGCATCCCGTGCCGGCGACGTCCCTGAACCTTCGAGTGGATAGTCTCCATAGCATTAGTCGAAGCAACCAGACAATCAGACCCTTTCACCTCGTTTTTCCCTATCTGTTAGCTCCTGCCCTGACTCACATTTGGACGTCCGCGTCCCACGCAGCCGACGTCCGGGCTGGACGCCACGACCGCGGCCAAGATCCTGGCGCTGTGTTCGGACATCGCGGCGCGCCACGCATGCGCCGTCGTGCTAACGGTCCACCAGCCGCGCCGGTCCGCCTTCGAGCAGCTGGACGACGTGCTCCTCCTCTCGCATGGAAGGTCAGCCTCTAAACTAATGTCATCCAATAAGGGGATTAGTGAATCATTATTGAAAAACAATGGGCCACAACGGTTTTGAAATCTGCTGCTAACCCGAAGCCGTAACCCGGTCCAGTGAAACACAATTTGAATGAACGAGCTTAGGTTGAACTGGTTGCCAATGGAAGTTGAACTACAAGGAGGCAGAACGACCGGCAAGCTACTCGCTCAGATTACCCGCTTGGTTAGAGCTTAGAGGGGACCGCTCGCACAGTAAGCACTTAGAAGAAGCGCTGCACGAGAGTGAACCTGGGCCGGCAGTACCTGAAATTCGATAAGACGAGCAAGATTGGCTGACGCTGGAGGGGCTGAAAATCAAGCTTTCTCTTTGACAAAACACAAATCAACCTCGAAGCATTGATTTTCTCGAACATGCTGGAAATGGCCTTCAAGCCAGCCTTGAAAAGATGGAGAATTCAGAGCTCTGTGCTAAAGTAACCTGGTTCCGCCCGGCCGCGCAGGACGGTCTACTTCGGCGCGCGCGGGGAGGCCCTGTCGGACTACTTGCAGTTCCACCTTCTCCTCCCGCCGGAGCTGGTCGTCTCTTCCAATCGAGCCAACCTGCTTCTTGATCTGGTGGAGAACTACGAAACCGGGGCTTCCACCGCAGTCGAGACAGCGGATTCCGCTGCCCTGGAGGAGCCGGACTCGCCAGGTTCGCAGGAGCGGACGATGCTCGCAGCGAATCGCACGAGCGAGAGCTCCGACTTTGAGGAGGAGAGCGGCCCGCTGGACTTTGGTTCGGAGGCCTCTGCGGACGCCTCGTTCGTTGATCGAGACGGTGAGCGGACGGTTCAGCGTACGAATGACTGGCAGTTGGCAATCGGAAGCGGTCCGTACGATTCTTGTGAGTTTTGAAGTATGCTGAGCGGGAGGTTTGCATGGAAGCGACTGAATTTGGGTATGCTCAGCCGGCTGATCGCAGGCGAGAATCCAGACCTGGGTGAGTGGGGATGTGTGCGCCTTGACAGGCTTACAGGCTTACAGGCACCAATCCGTCTCGTTTTATATGATCCTTCAGCATTCGAGGATAGCATGCCGTTTGCTTTTGATTTCTATAATGTGTGCGTAGAATTTAAGGCCCCGTCCAAGAAAGAACGAGATTGCCCCCGATCCAAGAAACTTTCGCTTTTGCTTCTGAGAAACGAGAGGCCAATCCCACGTAACATTAGTGTCACCAACCGTCTTGATTAGCCGGTCGAATCCGAAACCCTCTCAATCTCAATTGTTCGATCATCTTTTCCGGCTCTACTTTGGGCTCTCGCATCCAAACCACCGCATCTCGGCGCGCTCCCCACATTGCAATCCTCGGCTCCTCAATCCACTCAGATTTTCCTCTCGCAATTTATTTTTACCCGTTGTACGGTTTTTGCTCCCTGCAGGCCCCATGCTCCGCCGCTCCTCCAGCTTCGACACCAACAAGCACCTGCTCGCGACCGGTACCTTCCCCCGGGCGGACCTGGTCGCCGCCCACGAGTCCTCCGCCGGGCACGCCGCCGCCCTCAAAGTAGCCGGGGACTTGCCCCACGTGTGGACCCCGGGCTCTAACGAGTCAACCTTCAGCCTGCGCAGCGCAAAAATCCTGGCGGCCCGGAGCATGCGCGCGGACCTATGGAGCGACCCCACGTGGCTTGTCACCATGATCGCGCACTCCAACATCGTGCTGCTCGTGGTCGGGACGCTCTTCTGGCACGTGGTGAGCGGGATGGAGCCGGTGCAGCGCGCGAACGCACGCGCACAATGCCCGCCCCACTAGAAATATCAGGAACAGATTGGAGCAAGCTTCAGCCTCCATTTTCCGTTTATCAAGCGCCAATTCTCACGTCATGATACCGGCGAAGTTGCGTCGGCGAAAAGACGAAGGAAAATCTCTTCTTGGATGATTCAGATCGTCTGTTCACAACTAAGTACATACACCCTCTAAGCTCCAAGTTGTAGATCGGGAATAGTCGAGAAGCGCCAACCTTCTTCTAAATCCTCCGTACTTGGGTGGTGCAAGTTCACTTAATCTTCGAAAGAATGGAGCGCCAAAGCGGAGAAAGGATGTTAAAGTATTCGGCTGGTCACCCAACCGCCCCAAAACCACCCCGCTCCGTATGCTTCCATCCGTTTTTGAATCAGTCACCTTGAGGAAACTCCATACTCTGCCTGGTTTTGATGAGCGCTTGGAGTCTTACATTTTGTGGTTTTGACTGCCGTCTTCCCCTTTCCCACTGCAATGTAGCTTCGATCCAAGGAGACTTTCTAAGATTCTGTACGAGGAAATTCTCGATTCTTGGTACCTCCAATCACACGTTTGACACGTTTCTCACAATGGTGCGTCCGTCGCCTCTTGGCAGCCGTCGACCCTGGGTGGCGTCAGCATCGCGGCGGCGGCGCTGCTGCTCGTCCTCACGTTCGGCGCGTCATTCACGTGGCATCGAACAGAGCGCGCGGTCCAAATGATTACAACATTCCAGGTGGGTCGCGAGAATGAATAATGCAAGAAGAAAGATGAGATAGAAACTAAAAACGCAGTTATGCACAGCTGAGCAAAATTCTAACAGTGTTGTGGATGGTAATCGCTTATACAACGGCCGGCAATTGGCACAATAGAGCCGAAGCAACAGAAGACAGGGAAGCAAAATCGTAGACAAAAATGAGTCACGGTTTCAAAAGAAGGAAAGAAACGGATGATAAACACGGGCGCATTTCATCTTTCTGATCCAAGATGCAGACTGAAATGCAGGTGGTCTGTGTTTGTCCCCGTTCACAGCTTCGGACGCTTGAAAGGCCCCGTACGCAGCGCCAATGTTGCTTGCTACATGATCCTTCTCGATCCAATTCCAGTCATGGAATTTCGCATCGTATGGCCGTCATTCCCAGAAGAATTTTCGCGCGCCCCCCCTGTAAAACCCTAGAATCCTGACCATTCCCGCAGGCTGAGCACGCCAACGGCCTCTACGCACCCGCGTCGCTCGCGCTCGCGCGCACCGTGTACGACGAGCTCATCACCGCGGTCGCCCACGTGCCACCCTACCTGTACTACTACTGGCTGGTCGGCCTGCGCGCGAGCACGAGCGCATACCTGACATTCATCTTCGTCATCTGGGTCTCCATGAGCACTTTCAACCTGTGGACTGTGACGTTGGCGTTCGTCAGCGGGAGGGACTGGCTGGCCACGCTGATCAACACGTCGCTGCTCGGAGCGTGGACACTCACGGCCGGTTTCCTCGTAACCTCTAGCCAGATACCCGTCTGTGAGTGACCGCTACTGGTAACCTTTTCTTGAGGTTTTCCCGCTCAATTCGTCGCCGTAGCTTTGACCGTTTGGAGGTTCTCTCGAGATGAATATCAACTACGTCGCGGTTGTTTCGGTTGGTTGGTGAGCCTCTCAAGATTGACCAGTACTTTTTCGCGTTGCCCCACCGACTGATCGGTGAGTACTGAGAGCCTGCGAAGGCAGCCGATATCTCGCAAAATACCTCTTCTCCAGGGTCCATATTCTTTAGATTTCGAAACAGCTATTTGGCTTGTATGCTCTGATGGGCAACAATTGGCGGGAGATAAGCCATGTCTTTCCATGACTCACTTAAATCTGCTCATTGAAGCATACAAAACACAGCCGCATTCCTTGACACACCAATATCGAAAAGGGTCTTTGCTCAAGAACGCAATGACGTTTGACAGTTCTCGTAAGAGGGCGTCGGCCTTTGCTTTTTTCATCTTAAAACAGAGCCCCTCCGTGAGCGAATTGGGCAAGGACCAAGCGTGCGTCGCCCTGACTTGTCTGTCGAGGAAAGAACGGCCGTTAACACCGTGTACGGGGGCCCCGCATTCTGGGCGCTCAAGAAAACGCCTTTCCAGCTGTCCCGTCATCTTTCGGGAGGGCCTTAACAGCATTGGATCATCCGCGCCACTCACCTCCCACGGACGTCCAAATTTCGCAGGGTGGCGGTGGCTCAACTACGTGAACCCTGTCCGGTACGCCGGACATGCGCTGGTTCTGAACCAGTATGCGGACATGGGGCCCGTGTCCGACTGCCTCGACTCGCAGCGCGTGCCCGCGCTTGTGGACGGCACCCTGGTGCGCGGTGAGCAGCCCCCGGTGGTCGCCCTTTACCTTCCACCCGACTCCAGTGGGCGTCTTGATGTAGCTTAAGGGGCAATACCTCTTAAATTTCAGAACAAGATCTGGTAATCTCTCCTCCAACTTTCTAGGGGTCCTTTCTCCAACTATGCTCTCCTTCATTTCCAAAGATTCTACCCGCTCTGATATCCTCGCCTTTGGCCACTTTTACTATAATCAACTCCTTTCATCCTTGTCATGCGTCTCTTTTGGGCCAATGTCTGGTACTTAACCGTCAAAGTGTAGAATCTAGGATCTTGAGCCAATATCCAATCCTGAGACTCCGTGCCTTCCAGCCTGCCCCGACGGCCTGCAAATTGTGACGGCGCTCGGCATGAAGCGCACAGTGCTGTGGAACGTGGGCATCGTGGTCGCCATCAACCTCGTGTCGCGCGCCGTTTTCTTTGCCGCGCTCGCGATGCGCGGCTACGTCACCTCCTCCAACCGGCACACCATGGCGACGGCGGCCGCGACCGCGCGCAGGGTGAGCAGTTCGTTGGAGAACTGGACGGAGGTAGAGCTTGTGTGCCTCCTTCCAAGAGGTTCTCGTGGATCTTACAAGTGGTTTAGTTTTTAGCCTGCTCGGAATCCGGGCTTCGCTTGCAACATACTGAGAGGGGACGTACAGGTCCACTCGGAGTAAGTTGGATACAAAATCTATTACAGTTTGATACAATGCGCGCTTGATCCTCGTCTCTTCTTATAAAAGCTACAACTCACGCTTCTGCATGCAAACTCGCAGAGCGAGACCCTCTGACAAATCCTTCCCTCTTCATAACTTTCACAGACCTGGCGGACTTATGAGGGCTACCACCTTGACAGCGACTGATTGGCGGTCTAATGGTTTCTTTCTAATCGAGAAACCGCCGTCCGTGAACGCCCAAACTTAGCTCACACTTGTACCAGATTGCAAATTCCTGTTATGTATTCCTTTCAGAAGACGTCGGAAGGACTTACAGAGACCTCCGGCAGCTCCCCGGGGCCCCGCAACGACGACGTCGAGCGGGCTTTGCCGCCAAGGGGCTCTCAACCGGTTGCTACGAAGACAGCGCGCCGCCCCGGGGCTCTCACCCGAGCGCTCACCCGGATGCTGCCGACGAGCCAGGCCGCTTTTCTCCTTCTGGGCATCCTCAAACTCGCAATCGTCGTCGCTTTCTCCGCCTATTTTTTCCGAGAAGTCGCCCCGGAAGAGTCCCCGAAGTATGGATGGGCAACCGGGACAAAGAGCTCGTACCCGGCCCTGTACGGGTACGTTGAAGCGAGCACCCTTACTGTGGACGACGTCCTGGAGTACGACAGGTACAGGGTGGAAGTGGTCGCACCTCACGTGAAGCTCTGGAACACGCTATTCCCCCGAGTAGAGCCGCCCATCTACCGCGCGGAAAACGACTCCCTTGGGCCCGACAAGGAGCTCGGGTCGTTTCAGGTCAGTTTTCTGGCTGGTGATCCCTTCTTACTGTGGTAGAGAAGCAATCCGGCCAAGGTGAGACCAGTCCAAAAGTACTCTCAGAATGAGAAGGCGATTCACATTCCTCCAACAGATTGAAGGGCTGAATTCGGAGGCAGGTTGAAGGGTCGGAATGAAAAACGGCGTCCCACAGAGCACTGAATTCAGGCCAAGCCATTCGCCGCAAATGTCAAAGATGCTGTAGATCTCTCCACCATCTTTCCTCAATCACTTTCATCCGATGGTAGGAGAGCTTTTGAAGGCCTGATGCGCGCGTTTCTCGTCAGTCTTCGAATCTACTTTCTCGCTCCAGATCCTTTTTAATGTGTCAGGGGAAATGATCTGCCGATGAAACGTTGAGATCGTTCCGGTCACCTATCGGGCGGCCAGTCAAGCACTGCCACGTGGCAGGCCACAATATGCAGATGCCGTTTGCTGCCACAGCCAGCGGGTGACGTCACGGGTGCGAAACTTGGCCACCACCGCTAGCCAGCGTCGCGCCCACATAGGTATCTCCTATCAATCGGTTATGATTTTGTTACACGCTCTTTCTTTCAGGAACTGTTCCAAGTCTTTCCCCGGGGATACGACATCGGGCCCCAAGACCCGGGAGCTCAGATGAAGGTAAGAGTTCTCGCTTCCTGTTTCGAATGGAAACTTGACCCCACGTGGAGTCAGAAAGTATCGAAGGAAAATGGTTTGACTGTTTGTACACACTTTTGGGCCCGCAAAGAGTGCGGGTTTAGACTGGAATGCAAGCAGTCACGCCTTATGCGAAAAGACCTAGAACTACATTCAAAGTGACCCTGGTGCATGAAAGCTCGACCACCGAGTTCACGGGGGTGGTCCTTTCAAAAACTGCTCGGTCCAAACGGGTTGCAGCCATAATTTTTGTCTTATTAAACCCTCAGTAGAAGGGCGCGAGGCGCTCAAATCACTAGACGCTACCACATGAACACTTGCCTTAATGCTTAGTTCCCTTCGTGCTTCCTTCGTCTCTCAAAGTAAGTGCTTCATAAACCCACGGTTACCGATCAGGCGGTTGCAAGAATCATGACTGTCGATTCCCTCTCTTCGCGCAGTGGTTCATGAACGACACCGGGGATGGCGCGCTGCTCCTTCGCATCATGCAGATGTCGGGGGACGACCAGTGCTTCTCCCGGCTGACGACTTTGCCCCCGGTAGACAGTTTCCCGGTCGCCACATCAACTGGCGTGCAGGTGTTCCTGCAGCAGACCCTGCGGACCACCTGGGGCAATGCTCCAACCACTCTGGAGCAAGCTCTCAGCGCTGTGAGCCCCTCCGGAATCTACTAATGCTCTCACGAAGGCTTGGTGATGTTTGATTGCAATTATGTTGGCCAATCGTTTTGGAAGCAGCATGGCGGCTCTTTAAATCGTGAAACCTTCGCACTTCATATCGTATGTGTTCCTCATGAGTACGTCTCGAAGCAGATTTATGTCATTTGTGTCATTAAGTTGAGATATGTATCCGGACCACGTTCCAATGAGGCCCAATTTTCTTGAACCACGGTCGAGTCACCTGATCTGGCAGAGTTTGAGATTGACGGTGACTCAAGGATTTCCTGACAAGCATCCGCTATTGTTCACTTTCACGGGACCCCAAAAGTAGCTTAAGATTCTGCGTGCCCTGCGTTAGAATCATATCATCAATTGGAATCGGCAAAAATGCGCAAAGATGTCTGCACGATGACGGAAGAGAAGGTCGCAGGCGGTAGACAATACGGCACTCGGAATTGGCTTGGAGTCAGTCACCCGTCGACTTCGGTTGCTTTACAAGATAAGATTGCTGCAAACATCTGCTATTCTCCTGGTGCTCCGTTTTACAACGGTTTCTTGTGGGTCTGCTTGACAACTCTAATTGGGGGGCTTTGAAAGTCGTCACCCAATGACGGTCTGATCATGACAGAGAGTTTCAGGGAAGGTAGCGGATTCCAACGCTCAAAAGTTCGAACTCCATCCGATGCAGGGTCGTTTGTACATGGCGAACTACTGGTTCCTGGAGAACGTCGAGCACGACATCGGCTACACGACCCACGCCCCCAAGATCCTCTTCTATCTGCTCGACTCCGGAGAGCTGGTCACCGTGGCCATCCAGCTGGGGCAAAACCCGAGGTGGGTTTGCTCGAAAGCCTGCGCTTTGGCTTTCTTACCCATTCAAACCCCATTCTTCCCAACTTACTGGGGTTGGCCGGTTTACAGGAGGAAGATCTTCCTCGGATGCTCGGCGGTTACTCCCCTCTCCTAGCTAGGTAATGTAGGTAATCTGAGGAGAGTCCATTTTGGCGTTGAAGGGTAGGGGCGCTTTGATGTTTGGGTATAATCTGACACTATCCAGGGCCATTTCGAAACATCTTTACAAAGGATGAGTATTGAATGCGATGGTTGAGGACCTTTAGGACCGGCCAAGACGGTCCTTGCTGTTGACGATCGTATCTCAGGTCGGAAGCGGCGCTCCCTGTTTTCTTCCCCGATCTGCAGATGAAGCTACGCAATACCCAGGAAGTGGATGCTCCAGTGGTTTTGCAAAAAGTTGACACAATTGTTACGATGTTTGCAAGATGTGGAAAAGGTCACGTTCAGATTGGGTTGCCATGTTTTCGGGGCCGTTGCGCACCAGCTCTGTATTTGATTTCGAGGTCCGTCATCGAGAGTGTATGCTTCAACATACTGATTCCTAGCAAGCTCTGCAAAGACCGGGGCGCGGCGCACAGACATTCCGTCATCAGATCCTGGTCGAGTATCTTCTGCACAATGCTTCGCAATTCCCATTAACATCCCGCCCCGTCGGTGGCAGGCAAGCGCCGCTCATCACTGCGTACGACGACGCGCGCGCGACCGGGAACCCCTGGAACTGGTGGTACGCTCGCGTGTGCGCGCGGCACGCAATCACCATGTCAGCCAACTTCTATCACGTGGCGACGCTTCATTGGCCGGTCGAGACCGTCCGGGTGGCGCTGAATCGGGCGCTGTCCGAAAGCCACCCAGTCCGGGCGCTGCTATACCCTTTCATGGGCTACGCGTCCGTGCTCAACACGGCAACCAGGGTGCCCGGAGCGCTGCCGCTCAAACTTACCGGGCAGGTACGATACCTGCACTGAGCGCGCGTGTTCTCAGCGCAAGGTAATGAAGGTCTTTTCAAATGGATTGGGCCGGTGATCTGTGTTCCACCGGGGACATGCAGGCGCCGTGGTCAACGGACGGCGCAAAGCTTCGTCTCGGGTTCCACACGGTTTGGCTAAGCAACAAGTAGACGGACTGGAAGCAATCAGCTATCTTTTGCCGTTGTCACATGAATCTTCAAATTCTCGTAATGCTCCGTTAAGCAGAGTAGGATAGCGCAAACTTCCTTACACGGCTGGGTGCGTGAACCGTGCCGTCGACGCTCGCAGCTCGCGGCCCCCCATTTCTCCTGCTCGAGTTGCCCAGGCAGTACAAAAGCAATTTGAACGGCTCAAAAGCTAGAACGTCCATCACAAGTCGCGGGACGGACGTGGGTGGTCAAGCATACTCTGATGGAAACGCGAAGAGCTGTCATTGATAAGCCGATAAGACGTTAACATGAAGCGCAAACTTCCAATGACGGGGGTCTCGATCATTTCTTGCAGGGCCAGGCCACTCTGGTAAGCAACATCCTGGGCAATACGAGCTTCGTCGACTCATACGACTACGTCGCCAGCCTGGAGCGGCGCGGGCTGACCGCGCCGGCCGCAGGCGCGCCCGACTTCGCGGAGGTTTCGGAGATGCGCGACCTCCTGATAGCGCTGTGGGGCGTCCAGGATGACTTCGCGGCCGCGTTTGTGAACGCCACGTATGCGGAGGATGCTGACGTGGAAGCCGACGCGCCACTGCAGGTGGCTATGTTATGCAAACCCCTGCCTAGTTGCGCTGCGTCTTTTTCGGCTCCGCGCATCCCCAAAATGGACAGGAAAATTTGCAGGTTTCTTGCTCCAGTTTTGAAGGCAGTGCAGTTGGCGTGCTATGCTATTTCGATTCTTACGAGGAGACTCAGGATTGGAATCCAGTCCTCTCAGACTGGGTGATGATCTACAAGTATTGTCTCTCCTTCTAAGCTGCTCGACCTTCTGAGTTTGCTGCTCGAAATCGAAGTCTTTGTGAGGCAACAACTGGACAATCTCACGTCATCCCTTGAACGCAAAACTACTGCAATTCCTCGGTCCTCTAATCTGATCCCTTCTATATTCCAAGGTCTGAAAGGTCTTCAGAACCGGTCATTAAACCGGTTTGTTACCCCCGCTTCCCCACCCAGGACTTCGTCACGGAGCTCTCTCACCCCGACCGCGGCAACTTCGGCAACCTGACCCGCTCAGGGCAAGTCGCCACCCGGGGCGATCTGGCTGGCGTGCTGACCCGCCTCCTCCACCGCCGGGTCATTCATGGAGCAGCGGGTGAGTTCCACACTATCCCCTTTGCTGTTCGTTCTTGGCCGCGCACGCGAAAATGGAGAGCCTTCGGACGCCACGCCGAACGCTCTTAGGCGCCTCGGAATAACAATTTGAACGCCACGTAAAAAGCTTTTGGACGCCTTCTAGACCTAGTGGCACCTCTCGGCGCTCCAATTCGGACGCCCTGGTAGCTAGCTTTGGGTAACACTCCGGACGCCCTGGCAGCACCATGCGCCGGACCCGTTTGCCCCGAAACCAGATTTGAAGTCCTCAAATTGCCTTCCCATCAGTTGCGACTGCAGACCAATACAGCGGTGAGAGCAAATCACAACCGAAGGAAGACCTCTCGCTTTACGTCCTCTCGCCTCCTCTAGATCGATAAAGGGATCTCGATCCAGAAACCGTCCACGTGGCGCCTTGCAGGCCCGGTATGGCAGGCCCAGGCGATCGTGTACCCGACCACTTACGTTCCGGTGCTGCGGGCGGCGCCCCTGCTGGGCCGGATGCAGGAGTCCACGCTCCTCAACGCATTCGGCACGCGCCTCGACGTCGTCGAATTCCTCGACTTCTTTTTCTTCGCCCTCGCGCCCGCCCCGAAGCCGATGGCCGCCTGGCAGGGCGGGGACTTCTTCCCCGGGGGCTCGGCCCTATCGGCGCTGGTGGACGAGTACATCGGGAACACAACCGCCGCCCTCAGGGCGCACGATCGGAACGGCACGTGGAACATCGCGGCCACGTGGGGGGGCCTGACCGCTGGGTGATCGTGTTGGGAATGGAAAGATTGGTCACTTGACCCTTCTAAGTAGGTATCTTCCAGAAGTTCATGTTTTTTCCTACATACACTGACGTGCCAGCTTGACTTGGGCTTTGTAGGATAGTCTTTATGGGATAGGCTTTATGGGATAGTCTCTATGGGATAGGCTTATGGGAAATAGTGATGTAAACGAGTTGCAACGTCGCTTTGACGCTGAATTCTGCAGGCTAGCAGTGGCAGCTTTGGGTCCGGGTCCAACATGAGGTCTAGTACGATTAGACAGTACTTTTTCTTGTGCAGGATACTCAGTTGTTCTAAAGACGGGTCTACAAAGAGACAGGGTTGCTCGCTAGCTGCATAGCTCCACCAACTCTAGACAGGTCCCAGGTGTTGCGTGCACCGTTGTTAGGTTCATCGTCTCAGACAGTCGCATCGGACAGGTTAATGCAATCACTTGGCCGCCAGACTTTCTTTCCTAATTGGGAAATCAAATCACACGCTTTCTCTTGACAGACACCTTTTGATAAGCCATCTTTCGAGTCATGTTCAAGCTGAAATATCAGCAGACGGGCTGACGCGTCTATGTGAGTACGTGTGCCAGCTAATCAGAACAAAGACTGAAGGTACGACTTGAATCCTGCAATTCAGAACTCGACGTGACGGAAGATTGTAGTACGTGGTATAATCACGCATCATGGCTTTGTCTACAATAGGTCTACGTACCTCTTGACTGATAGATTACCATGTCGGGTGTCAATCAATCATGAAGGGGAGGATTAGCAAGCTGGAAGAGACGTCCTTGAGAATGATCAAGCGAAAAGCAATTTGCCTAAACCCTGCCTAAGACCCACTCGGCATGCCGAGCGTATGGTTGGCAGGTCTGGCAGCGTGAGGCATGCCTAAGACAAGCCCAAAAGCAGCCTGATACATGCCTATTAAAGTGCCTGCGAAACCCGGCTGTAAAGTGTCACCTACGGCTTGCATGTTACTTCTGCCCAACGTCATCAATCTGGCACTTTGAAAACAAGGGACGACGAGTAGCATCAAGAGCGGGCCCGTCTTAATGCCAGCCGCAAATGTGCGCACACACTCAAGTCCTGCAAATTTGCGACCAGAGTCCGGCCAGAATAGCTTTATGGTTCAAAAGCGTAAAAGCGGGACAGCGCATGGGCGCCGTGCAGCGATCATGCAAGTCATAATATGCACTACTTGAGCGTCTGGTCCCAGTAACATTGTGAATTCAGTATGTGAGTATATGCTTGTACGCGTTATATAACAAAGTGCTGGCTAGGCATAAGACAGGTAGAGCGCGGTGCGCATATTTCGGCCGCACGCGCTGCCTACGCGCTGGCTGTGCACAATTTTCGCGAGTGACTATGTTGGGTCGACGCTAGCTAAAGCTAGCTCATTTGCAATAATTACATGCAGATACTGTAACCAATATGCATTTACGTGCGATTCGAGCAGCACGGAAGCTTGATCGAAGCACGATCGAAGGCCCCTCACAGGGAGTTTTCGCAGCTTTCAGAGTATTGTGTCTCACCGGACAAATAACGGCTGCGGTGCCTTTTGTTGACTTCCCGTTGCGGCTCCGCGACAGGCGCCATTGACTAAAAGAGTGTATCCAAACAATAAAGGTTCTTATCCAATATTGGCCGCTCAGGCCCGAGCTTTTTGCACTTCGACTCCGAGCGCCCCTTCACCTGCCCCTGCAATAGCTGGCGGCCGTTCTTTACAACCTTCGACAATGACGAAATTTTAATTACTCATACGCAACAGTGCGGCACCGTGCAAGCGCATTGCAAATTCACTGGGTCAGGACTCAGAACGGGTCAAAGTGTGCCAAAACCGTGGCAGGACTACTTGGGAGACAAAAGTTGAAGAGACAAAAGCACAGAGATTCGAGAAGGAAGAGAAAGAAATCAAAGACAAGGGGCAAATAAGTTGACGGGCTTCGTATACGGTATGTTCCTCATGTATACGTACAGGGGAGCCACGTGATGGTTGAAACCTCAAACCCTTTGACCCGTTGGTGGGAGCATTTTGAAAAAGACGGCCGCGTTGCCGGAGCAGCCGGCCGCGTGACTGGGACATCTGCCTCTAGCGCGCTTGATTTATTGCATCATGCCGCAGCTCCCAGCCGCAGCCTACTACAGCTAGCTCGAGAACTTGCCAGATCGAGCGCTTTTCGAAAAGGAGAAGCCCCCCCTGATCAGTCAATTTGTTAGTTGCAAGTGGCGATGCGCTCTTCAATTGGATTACCTAGTACTACCTAGTAGAGATCTGACTTGCATTCTGGTGGTTGGAACATTTTAGGAAGGTTTTCTTTTAGGAGGTTGGGGCCAAGAGAGAAATCGTTGGTGCGCTCCTTCGCGGGATGCTGACATCCTAAGCAGTCATGTCTTCGTCGCCCCCCTCTCTGTTTCTGGCCAATGCGCCTCCCATCCCTGTTCCCCAGGACAGGAATGAGTACAGCACAACAGCCCTAGGCGTGTCTGTAGGGGTCACGGCCGGGCTGATCCTCTGCTGCATTGCCCTCGCTTGCTATGCAGCAGGCAGGAGGAGGAAGCAGCTCATCTATGTGTGACACAGCCCCTGGGCCCTGGGCACAAATTTGCAGGGCTGTTTGCAAATGAGAATGAGTACCTTTGAACAGAGCCCATGAGATTGGTGAATGGAATTTGTAGGGTGGCAGAATATTACCCATTGAGAGATGTTTGTCGTTGTTTCAGAGGACACTGCTCGTGACAATCAGAAGCATAGTCAGTGCGCTCATTCGGAGGGTGGCTAATGCAGGCTTGCAGACTTCCCTTTCTTCTCTGACAAATCGCAAAGCAGAGCTTTGTCGGCAATGGCACCATCACGAGGGCTGCTTTCAGCAGTCTATTAGGGCTTGAGGTCGCAGAGCATGTAGCTGATCCTTCACTGCCAACACAACTAATCTACACAGGGGGACTAAAGAGCGCCTCTGACACGCTAATTGTTCATTGGCATCGCTACCACATTCTAGATTTTGGGGTCACTAATTTGCTGCTCGTGACGCTCCAACATGCAACGGTTTCTGTCGAGTTGCCTGCATTTGGGGGCCTGTCAGACGGTGATCCCTCTGCGGGGCTGCTTGGACCTTCCGGTGCGCCCGTCCTTGCCCAAGTTCAGGCATGTCATGCCCAGGTGTGTCACAGGCACGGCACTGGCCAGCGGCAGGAGTGAGGCCCTCACACCGCAGTGGTTGGAGCAGCAACTGAGGGCAGCGGGGGCCGAGAAAGGGGCTGCGCTGGCCATGGCAATCTCTGGTGAGCCTCGCACGCTCCCAACCCAAAATTGCTCGGTGATGGGTAATCAAGGGTCTTGCATTCAAGTTCATTGTGCCCCTCATTGAGAAGCTCTGCAAACTCACTTGAGCCACTGTTTTCCCTGCTGTGTATATTCGAACAACTAGACTTGATGAGTTGGACATACTGAGAGTGGCTTCTTCACCCTTACTGGTAGCTGGTGGCCACCCATGCTTGCGCTGCTTCCTGACAGTCAGAAAAGCAAGGGGATGTCTTTGTGCCCCACCCTGTAAGGGTGCTGCTGGTTGGAGAGTTGTTCTGCGTATCCGCCTATTGACGGACAGCCTTTCCGGTTCAGGGGGCAGCGACAGCATGGCTCTGGCAGTCCTGGCTGCGCGCCTGCCAGGCCCCCCTGTGACGGCGCTGGTGGTGGACCACGCGCTGCGCCCGGAGAGTGCGGCAGAGGCGCGCCAGGTGGCAGCCTGGCTGGACGTCCTGGGGTTGCAGCAGCAGGTGCTTACGCTGGAGTGGCCCCACGGGCTGCCCACTGCCGCAAAAGTGCAGGAGGCAGCCAGAGAGGCGCGGTGAGCACACCCGCCCTTCCTGAGCTGAGGGTGTGGTAGTCACCATAAGTTGGGCTGCAAAATCTCGAAACCACCGGCATTTGGGTTACTCCTTGTTTAGTTGCTCGGGACTGAGCTTCTTAGCCCCTCAGGTTCTTCATTGTATCAGAAAGCAGCATCAGTCCTTCCTCCGAGGACCATTGCCCGACACCCGGCATCTTGTGCAGCTATGATGCGCTGGCAGGCGTGTGCCACGCGCGTGGGCTGACCGCGCTGCTAACCGCGCACCACTGGGACGACCAGGCGGAGCTGCTGCTGATGCGCCTCTCGCGCGCCAGCGGCCTAGCGGGCTTGGCCGGCATGGCGCCCTCCTCGCAGCGCGTGCTGGCGGGGCGGCCCCTGCGCCTGGTGCGCCCACTGCTGGGGGCCACCAAGGCACAGCTGCGGCAGGTGAGGGGCGGGACGGTAGAGCAGCATTTAACAAGCCGAGAATCTAAGATCAGTCACCCAACGCATCTTGTATTGACAATCTCCAATCGACCCTCCTGAGGTGTACCCTGTCAAGGGTATAGCAGGCCCCTGAAACATTCCTGGATCGGCCATGCTTGTCCTTCACAATTGTGCCTGTGCCAGGGCCTGCCTGCTTGCCCTCTTGCTGCCCACTGCTGATGGCGCGTATGCTTTGTCTGCTGCAGGTGTGCTGTGCTGCAGGCCAGGCCTGGGTGGAGGACCCCAGCAATGCGATGCCTGTTTACCTGCGGAACCGGGTGCGCGCCGTGCTGCAAGACCCGCACTCAGGTGAGCCCGCCCACCTGGCTGCCACATTAACAATGTGTCCCAGCTTTAATTCTTCGACATCTTGATATGGCCATCTTGATCTTCGCCTATCTGCCTTTTCTCATAGTCACGCAATGCTGGTACAGCGACATGCTTGTGTGCTGTCGCAAAAGCCGAAAGCTTTGTCCAAGTGAGTTTCAAAGGGCCCCTCTGAAACTGGCGCTGGGCAACCTGAGCCGTCGACATTGTCAACTAGAAACGCGCAGAGCAGCTTGACGACATGCTGCGCAGAGGCGCTGTTGTGTGCCTTAAAAGAGGCGCACTGGGGTGTGATCACCTGTGTGGCATGCTGACCGATTGTACGTCTGTCCAGGTGTGTCCTCCAGTGACGTTGGGGCAGCGCTGGCGCTGTGCGGCCACCTCAAGGCCCGCCTAGAGGAACAGACGCAGGCGGTCCTAGAGCATGCGACTCGCACAAAGCGGGTATGTGAACAAAGGAACGCCCAAATTTTTAACCCCGCCGCTTACGATCTAGCTCCCCTGCTGATTACAAGAAGCTCGTGGCTTTTATGAGCTCAATCTACCGCCCAGTTTTGGCCGTGCTTCAATCCCTGCACCGTCTCGAGTAGAGTAAACCATCGTGCATTCAGCGAAGGGAACTTCTTGAGCAAATTTGTTAATGGATACGGTAGGAAGAATGATGGGAACCAATCGGGCGTCCACTGGTGCGGATTGGGCAGTCTATTGCACTTCTAGGAAAGCAGCACCTCATGAACGGCAGAGGTGTCGTGCTTTGGCTCCAGGGCAGCTTCCTTCTCCCGGCCTCTCGTGCCACCTGTATTCGTCTACGATGCACTGATGTCGCATTATCGGCGCCGGTTGCAGGAGGGCCGTCACGTGGTCGACCTGGCCTCCCTGGCCGCGGCTCCCCCCGTGGTGCAAGCGGCCGTCGTACAGAGCATCGTGCACGCCGTGGGTCCGCCTCGTGGCGGCCGACCTGCCAAGAGCCGGGCCGTGGAGGCGCTGCTGACGTATCTGGCCAAGGTCAGAGAATGCTCCACCGACATGCTGACGTTGTTGAGGCCTTTCAGAAACGGTCGACTCTTTTGAATTGGCCGGCAGGCTTCTCGTCGAACAACGTGCAGGCTGGGAGACGGAAGTCGGATGCTCGGGCAGGGGAGCAACGATTGGATGTTCCTGATCCTGTTGTGGAGCTCTCTTCGATGCCTGCGAGTCTTGGTCCTTCGACATTGTCAAAGATACCGACATATCTATGGCGTCGTCAGGAGCAGTTGGGACGCAGGCCGGGCTTATACGGGCGCCTATCCTATGCAGGGACCTCGGAGAGCTGCCTCCTTTTCTGTGGGACGGACCGAGGTGCAAGCGTATCCAGAAAAAGGGGCGGCTGGTAGGATTGTCTTCACTAGACGTCGCTCTGACGAGTAGAAGGATGTTCGAGAACATCTTGGTAGGATTCTAGGGGACCGTACTCACTGCTCGCTTAGAACTGACATTACGGATCACGAGAAGGAAGTCTTGCGGATCCTTCTCGAGTCGGTACATTCAAGTAATAAATGTTAGACTAGCATACCGACTGAGGGACAGTGCAAGATTGATTCGAGAAACTTAGGGTGTGCATACAACATGGTGACGATCCATGTACGTGCAGCAAAACAAGAACCATCAAAACTCTTCGTAAACGGCCAGGTCGGATTGACAGCCAGGTCGATCGTCAATAAGCAAGAGCGAGCTTGGTGCTGACCGCATGCATTCGATCGTGACCCTGACCATATGATTGTACGTTGGAGCGAGCTCTGGGAACACTGACTTATTAGGATCATGCATGACATGTGCGCGTGCAAAGGCCGAGGCTGCCAAGGATCTTGGCCTATATTTGCTATAGATACTTTGCACTGCGCGGCCCGCCCGCCGCCCAGCCCATGTTCATGCATGCTGCCGCCATGAATCGATTGGGACTTTATTAACCTCATGGCACCCATTATCAAATGCAAGATTATCCCTATAGTATATATACAATCAAAAGTACGCCGGCATGTGGAATTCGACTATAGGATTCACTATACATATATAAGGATCATGGGTGACTGATCAATCTAAGATCAGCGCGCGTGTGCACATGTACAAGGGCGCCATCGACTCGATCCTACTGCATAGTTTCTAGGTAGGCGTGTGCTCTGAAATACACGGTCATTGTCCATTGGGAGTGTGCGAATGGCGGCCGGCCGCCCCCCGGGCTTGCTCAAATTGTCTTAAACCTTTGGAAACAAATCGTCGGCTCCGAGAGCTGGGTCTGCAACAAGCTATGTTTGAGTTGGAACTTAGTTTTTGCTAGCCTAGTACCGCCAACAGCAGATTGAGGCACTACTCACCATGATCTGTGCTTTTCCGCTCTGCATGAGAGCCCTCTCCCAATGTTTATGGTCACATGCAATCTGGAAGCAAGCCGGTATGAAAACGGCTGGCTAAAAGGACCCCCTTGTCGGAGCGACTTTTTTGCTGAACCTGTGGGCCTCTCGATCAGCCGATCGCAGCACTGGGTCCACGACCACCATTTTTCAAGCAGCAGACTCAACGCCTCAAGGTGTCTTAGTCGCAGGCCGGGACGGTTCGTAGCGATGTTCGTGAAATAACCTTGGCTGGCAGGCTGTTTATTCCGGCGGCAGAGGATCCGCCACGAAGTGGTGCAGCTCCGACTCGGGCTTCCCTAGCAGCTCCCGCCGCGACGCTGCGCACCACCACAGAACGGACCAAGGTCAGGCCGGGCATACGGGAGTTGCGAGGAAAAGCTTTTCGGATCAGTTGCATCGCTATTGCTGCCTTATCCAATCGGGCGGTCGACCTTTTTAGTCTGGAACAAACACTGACGGCCTACCTAGGGAGTGTAAAGTTTGTCAGATACCTTGTTGGTGTCATTCATTCGGAGGGTAAGGTGTGCAGGTATTGCAGAGACCGGTATTTCGGTAAGGAGCTCGGCCCGCCTGGCGTAGAACCTGAGTGTTTAAGGTCCCTTCCGTCTGATTCTTTGCGCTACGAGGCCAACACCCTCACAAAGTTGGACCACCCAACTACGCCGAACACGGCCCAAGTGTGCCTCTGGTCTCAGGCGGCGACGGCCTCTCTCAGTGCGGGCAGCACCGGCGAGACGGCCGTCATTCAGAGCCTGGGCAGGCACAGGGCCTCACCTGCGTCCGCGTCCAGCTGCGGCGTCCTGCCAAACAGCTTGTCCAAGTTGAGCCCGGCAGGGATCCTGCAGAAAAATCAGAAGCTCCGCCGCGTGAGCATGGAGGACGTGGGCATGGAGGACTGGCGGACTGCGCGTACGAGTACGTGGCAAGACGAACGGGCTCGCTATCGGCTCACGCCTGCAGCAACTAGAGAGCATCAGGAAACATGAACGCAGGCTCGACGGCACTTAGAGCGGGCTATGCTGGCACTTCAGTACTAACATGTCAAAGCAGTGTTGCTTGCAGCTGGTTCAAGGAACTCACATGTTGTTTCTGGCCGCTGCCAGCAACAAGCTATCCGAAGCAAGGGGGCGACCAGCGGCAACTGCACGACGGGTCATGCTGAGGTTTAGCTTAGCTAGGAGAAGGAGTTTGGAGCGACGGAGATGGGTACTCTAACTTCGATCGCAACAGCAGAGGAGGGAAGAGAGTCAGCTCAAACAAACCGTCCTTAGACTTAAAGATCGCTTGGATCAAGGAAGTGACTCCAGCGTTCCCTATATACCACCGTGTAGGGTTTGTTTCGCTTCAACTATTCTGTCCCCATGCAGCCTTACTTCACAGAAGCTTAGTAAAACCGACAGCATGTCGAGGGTATCCTGAAAGTAAATGCAGAGAGCTTGCCAAGTATGGGCGTGGCAGAATTTTCAGCTTCTTGGGGCAATGATGAATCCGGGAGGCCTCGGATGAAGCCCAAGAACTGGAATTAGGAGCAGCGGTCTGGTTTTCTTACCGGGCCGCATAGCGTGTGCTGTGAATAGAAGCATCACGAGAAGCCAGGGACACACAGCAGCGCAGGAGCGTGCCGCCATTAGGCAATGCTCAGGTGCCGACCCCGGTGAGTCTGTCAAAGGCGTTAGTGTATGCAGTTTGAGGACCCAACCAGGCAAGAGCGTTCGGTGAGAGAACGTAAGCGAACCGCTGATACTAACTGCTAATAGGAAGACCCACGGAGGTGCTAATCGAAGAGTTTCAAGGCTCCAGGTAGACCATAAGATGATGTCTCTCAACGTGTCTCAATCTTGCTCGGTAGCAGGGCCCTACTAGCACTTCGAGAAGGCAAGCTCAACCGATGGGTTTGCTTGAACCTCGGTCCTATAATTGGCCCGGAATGTGGTCTTTGAATGCGATCCAAAGATCCGAAATAGTGCTAATTCAGTAGTGGCGTCGGCGCTCCTTGAAATGCTGAATGTTTGGTGATGACGAGAGACCAAGCAATAACAATGAGTCCTGCCTGGCAAACGCGGAGGCGCCCGAGCCCTCTGAGTCGATGAACGACGAATCTGCAATGCTCTTTAATCAAGCACCGCTTTGAGTTTTATATTCGTCGTGATACTTTGAATCATGTACAGGTTGACAGGTGGCCGCCCAGCATTGCAGTAGCACCACAAGCAGTGGAGCAGTGCAACGCAAATAGCATTTCATTCTTTGAGACTTCCTGCGAATCTCTGATCCTGACGGGGCCTAAGAACTTGCAGGCAATCAGTTACTGTTGGTCCGGCTCCGTAATACTAGTTTGCCGCGTCGTGAGAATGTCAAATGGTGCAGAGTCGCAGCCAATACTGAGGTATTAGTGTTCAAGTCATGTGTTCAAGTGTTGGAGAAGCTTCATCATATCATCATGACCAGTCACGCAGCCGCATGCAGTAGCAACAAAATGTCCCAAGCGCATTGCATACCCATTGCACAGGCCCGCCTGACTCACAGCCGGTGCTGAAAACGCAGGCGGACGCTGGCGAGGGGAAGGGGGGGGGAAGGAGGAAGTTTCAAATCAGTTGGGAGCCGCCTGTTAATGCATGTAGTAGTGCGGGCTGGCAGGGATCTAGATGATGCATTGAATGGCACCCGCCTGGTACGCTTAGTCTGCACTTAATGGTCAGCAGTTTGTCCAAATCGATTTGATACAGTAAGTCTATACGGCGTCGATTACCGCGCCCGATCATAGCGAAAGAAACCATCGAGTATGGAGCGGATCTTCAAGAGTGGTTGCAGTGCAGCCCTCCCTGCTGCAACTGCCATTTATCTTGCGAGCCTTCTTGCGAAGCCCATCGACGGAATGGTAATGACATATTTTTCTCTTGGACAATGCAAGCCGTCCGATCGCTCCTCCATCTCGAGTACTGCCGGCCGGCGCCGGCCAACTTGAATACGCCGCCGAACTGCCAAAGTCCACAGTCGGCCGACACTGGTTTACCAGCTACTCCATGTTGCTCTCTTTTGCCCTGGCATTGACCAATTGAATAAGGTTGGGCCATGACTTGATCATTGAATCGCTTGGGCACTGCTTGCACATGGTCCAACTGGCTGCGAGCCTCTGTTCTTCTGTCCTGCGGCATGGTTTGCAAAGACTGCAGAAGCTGCCTGAGTTAGTGTCAATGCAATAAACTATCTGAAAGTTGACCAACCCATCATCCGAGTCCATGTCCGACATGAATCATGTGAAGCATGCCGGCATATCAATCACCTGTACTCATGCAGCGTGTTCGCCGAATATGGTTCTCATTCAAAATGTTTTCCATTTCTCTTTGCTTTGGCGCCAGCATTGGTTGCATGTACATAGTGACGTGTTACGTTGCAAAGTGCATGCATGATGCATGATCAACAATAAAGAGGCTCGCTATGGCGATAGCTGCATGCAGTGAGATTAAGGTGTGACTCGGAGAGTCCACCCTGAGCTGAGACTGATGATAAGCTCACCGTTAGTATGTACAGTCTTTCATCACAGCATCAAGCTGCTCCATATACAGCAATCTGCAGACATGCCATGTTGGCTTGCAAAAATGAGTGCATGCCAGAGGATCCCATGGGGTTTTTTTATTGTAGGTTTGCTGCTTTGTTGTTGACTCGGAACGATGCTACAGCCGTTCAATGTCAGCCGCGGCACGTGCACTCATGAAACCTCCCCATCGATCGTACCGGCATCAATGTTTTAAGCAACCTTGACAATTGACAGGGGCTTGACGGCATGCGCATTTGCCAAATGGATTAGCAAGCCAAATATGCATCAACATCAGAACTACTCGATTCGCTGAAAAACTCATCTCGTTCTTGCTAGCTGGTCTCCTCGGGAGACATGTGGCCGAGAGAGTTTACGAGCCAGGCAGCTAGACAGCAGGCAAGAACGGGCGATTACACAAGCATGTTGTCCTGCCGGATCAGTTTATAGTCCCAAGAAAAAAAGGTATGTCTCACTTGTCTACACAACTAAGAGCCCCGAAACGGCTTTTTGAGTCTCTATATCGGTCACACGCTTGCTGCGGTCACTTTGGACTTCACGCAGAGCATCCAAACCTGCTGGACACCGAGAGTCCTTGGGCTGTCAACACGACGAAGCACATCCAGAACCACCTTCCTTCGCTGCTTCATTCTCATCGATTTCTAGCACGAGGTAGGCCCTGTCGATACATATTGCTGACCACTATTACCGAGGACCGTTACTGTGATCCCCATTGGCCCCGTTCTGCCGCCCCTCCCGGGCTGTCCCGGAGTCGGGTGTGTCCACCCGGCCATCCCCGGTCTGCTCCGCATCGTCCACCATGGGCGGCCGCACGGCAGATTCGAGATCACCGTCGTTCAACACCTGCGCCAGCCACACAAAGTCGGCAATCATCACGTGGGCGCTCAGTGAAGACAGCCCTTGACACATAAGCCCAGCTTCCTCAAAGCAACGCTGATGTGGGAAAAAGTGTCTTTGAAGTGTCCAAACTGGACGATCCCTCCTTCAGCTTCTTGAGGACACGCAAGTGTCGATTGCGGCTTTGCAGGATCGCAGCCTGAACAGTGCGTCACCCTGTGAGCGCCACCAGCTCGGAACTTGCAATCACCATTCTCCAGCCAACCAGACTTCCGCGCTCCCCTTAGCAAATGCAAACTATACGAGTTACTGTCCGCCTCGTGCTGTCAAATGCTGGCCCGTTTGGTTATGAGAAGCCGAAGCTTCACAGGAGTACGGGGCTTGAGACACAACCACCGCTTCGCGCTCAGCCATAGTTCCGGCATAAAAGCCAGGGCATAAGCAACAGCACTTGAGGCGCTCACAGATGCGTACCAGCCCAATCACGATGCACCCACACACAGCGCGCGCATATCTGTCGACGGCCGCTCGGCGGACTCACCTGCTTGACCCCCGACTCGTCGTCGTCCTCGTCGGACGGCTGCTGGCCCGCGCTCTTGGCGGACTCGCCCTGCTTCTTGGCGAACAGGCCGTCCGCGTGCACCAGGGTCAGCACGGACCCGATCGCGCTGTGCACCGGGTTGGCCTCCTCCTCGGGGGCGTGCTGCGCCTTGGCGCGCTTGGCCCAGCCCTTGAGGTGGTGCTGCACGTGGTCGCCGAAAATGGTCAACCGAGTGGTCGACCCCATCTGCAAAAGAGCACGCGGGGCGGTCAGGGCAGCGGAGCGCAGCCAGCCTTTGCAGTCGTCAGAACCGCGCATCCAAACAAGAGTGCGCGGACTTGTCTGCACTGCTTGGGAAGGAGGCTCTAGGTGCAGCTCCAAGCAGGATAGCAAACCAGCCATGCCTTCGTATTGAAGCTTCCTCCAAGTTTGAAGACACCAGCAGACGCCGTCGAACGGAAAGAAGGACGGACGGCAAGAGAGAGGGCAAGCAAACTCCTACTCAACAGTTCGACCTATGCCTCCGGAAGCTATTTCCCTGCACAGGTCGCGGTTCATCCAACAAATATGGACGACGCTGCGCAAGATGCTGGCGTGAGAGGGCGAGTACGGACCTGGGACACGAGGGCGTACGCGGGCAGCGTCACCCAGCTGGTGAACAGAATCAACGTCACACTGCGCAACACAAAGAGCAAGTCAAGCGGTTCAATGCGATGGATAACTGCACAAGAGAGCTTGCTCAGTGACAACAGGAAGCGGCCGCATCCACGGGCTACATCGAGGACGAGACGCAGCAACGCCAGCATCTTGCATAGGCTGAAGGCCAGGAGGGGTTAAAGGCCTGGGCTAGCCTGATCGACTGGAGCGGTTGGACAGAACGCAGCAGCACGAGCTGCCTTCCCGGAGGGACAAGAGAGCCTTGGCCAATTTAAGCACAGGAGGGCCACACGGCAGCACCCAACTCCCCTTGGCATACACAAGAAGTCGCTTACCTAATCACCACCCGCAGGTAGGAGAAGGGTCGGTTGTAGAAGTAGCACGAGTTGACCCCAAAACTCCACTGCACATCGGCAGGCCCAGCGCAATCATCCAGCAACGCCAGGCAAGGAGCAATGTAGTGGCCCTCATTCTCAGCAAAACACGCAGCTTTGCTGAGCGAAGCCTTACAGTATACACATGGAACAAAGAGCCGTCGGCCGTGCGAGCGGCAGCCTGCGCACCAGAGCACGCTGCTGCTAATGGTGCACGAGTGGCGGATGGGGAAGGGCTTAGCTCACCGCATAAAAGATGATGCTGGCCAGTTGGAACGAGTTCTGCACGAGCATCACAGTACCAGCGTCAGCGCTGCGCGGCCGGCAAATGTCCTGACAATCTGACGCGCTGAGCTCTCAGACGGCCCTGCTTTTTGGGGCGACCACGGGCACGAAGCACCAGGCAGAGATCAAGGCCACACAAATGCACATCGCTGCTGAATGACCCGCCAGCAAGTGATTCGCAGCAGGCAGAGAGGACGTGGGACATGTTGTCATGGGGGGAGGCGACGAGGTCTTCAGCCATGAGCACGACCGTGCAGCAATTCCAGGGTTGGGAGGTGGGCCTCACGGTGAAGAGCGTGAAGTGCATGAGGTTGAGCATGATGCTCGGGCGCTGGAACCAGAAGAGCGAGTTGCGCGGCCGCAGGTGCGCGCCGACGCAGGGGCCCATGCGCTCCACGTCAATGTCGCGCGCGAGCACCTGCACCACGCGCGCCAGCTTGGCGCCCACCAACAATATGATCTGCACCGCAGAAAGAGGGGAGGGGGTGCTGAGAAAAACCTTACAGCTTAGAAGGTAAAGTGGGAGCGGGAAAGGCGTCTTCCGCCGTTGAGTTTTCCTCGCCAATTGGCCCACGGAGATCGACAGAAGGGTGGACGGGAGTGTGCAGGAGTACATGCCCACAGTCTCGAAGATTGTGCAACCCTCAACCTAAAACCCTAAAAAGGGAGCTGGCACCGCTGCCGCATTCTTGTCCATAAGTACAGAGAGTGGATGGGGAGTTCTCGATAGAAAAATCGGTTGTAACGGAGCCATTGTTTTGAAGACGCGAACCAGATGTTGGTGGCATGAAACATGATGATGCGAAGGGGGCACGCCAGTCGGCGGTGGCGCTGACCATGACGAAGATATCGGGCAGCCAGAAGACGATGTGGCCCTGCGGGATGTCGAAGATAACGAAGAAGACCACGAAGAGCCACATGAACGGGGTCACGCCCACCTGCACGCACCGGCCGCAGCAGCATCACGGGAATTGCGGCTTCCAAAGAAATGTTAATGACGAGCCACTGCGTTGTCAGTTGGGCTGTCATCTGTGAACCGGGGAGGAAATAGAGGAGCATGACCAAGTCGTGTCGGAAGATCTACTGGAGCTCTTGAGGTTGTTTTGACATCGTTGCGGTTGCCCTCGTAAGCCTTCCCAGGACATACGACCACTTCAGCTGTGTTACAGCACTGCAAATCGAGCACAGTCCATGCGTGGCTGGTGCGCATTGACTGCCTGCGTGGACGGGAGGTGTACACGGGAGCCACTCTGCTCACCACATGGCTGTAGTCGGCCTCCAACGACCGCAGCAGAAACTTGTGGAAGGCAAAGCCATCGTGGCTCAGATTGTGGTACTGCACAGAAGAAGGGTCCAAATGGGGTCAGGGAAAAAAGGGTCAACAGACTTCCGCATCAGTGATTGACACAACAGACGTACGCATCAGTGATTGACAAAGTTGACGACACACCTGCAGCCAACATGGGCTTGCCGGCCCTGGTATATGCAGTCAGCCTCATAGCGTGTTTTGCACAAGACTGCCACAGCCCCGTGCAAGCTACTTGGCTTATCAACAGACTTTCAGCTCACCGTGCAGAAGGCGATGCGCAGGGCCTTGTAGTCAGCCTTGGCGACTGCCTGAGTGAAGGACTTGAGGAAGCAGTGCTGCACGGCAGGAGAAACGCGCTGTGTTAAAACCCGAGTAGCACGTCGGATAAGATCACCTTCTTGTGGCGCCTACCTTGTTCTGTGTTTGTGGAAAAGCAAGCGAACTGCTGTACAGTCTCATAAGGAGGTCAATGAAGGGAGCCCTTGCAACTTGTCGATTCTAGCATCCAACAATCTTCTAAGGCCCCCTTCTGGAAGATTCCTCAAGGAGGAGGCGGGAAGGAGTTCGCAGGCAATCTTGGGGCTGCCTCACCGCCCAGTCCAAGATCCAGATGCCCGCCTTGGCGCTATGCCGCTGCTGGAATGTGGACACGCGCGTCAGGTCCTTCTTCTGGCCTGCACAACCCGCAGGGGCGCGGCTCAGGCTGGGCGTTGGATTGAAGGCAGAAAACAAAGACCAGTATTGTCTAGCCAGAGGAGTGCAAAGGCAACGACCAAAGGCAGCTACGCCCCCGCTCACAATTTGCAAGGGCGTTGATCCCAGATGCACTGAAACCTCGTTTCTTAGGGGGGGGCCACATTGGGTGGGCAGGAGAATCGGAGATAGTATCTACGCCAGAATTAGCCACACGTTTGGGCTTCCCCAACATGGGTGCCTCCTCAGTGCGCAGCGGCAGTGCCGCGCACGTGCCATGACCGTGAGGGCACATCCAGCCGTCTACAAACACAGCGGCAAGGGAGGGCGAGGCAGCCTGCTTGAGCCGGGTGGAGATCAGGCAGATTCAATTCTGATGTCTGAAGGGGCATCGACAAAAATCATACTTTGGCCGGCATAGTAGGCACGAGCTTCCCTGACGGCCTCCTCCTCCCACTTGGCCCACCGCTCCACCTGCATACAGGCCACGCAGCATCAGCCACAGCCAGACTGGCCTCACTATGCGGCAGCCATTGAAACACAAGAATGCGCCAAACCAGCGCCAGTTATATTACATGTTTGTGTCTGACATTTTACAAGGAATGCAGACTGCTTTTACCGCTATGCGTGCATTGATAGCCGAACGATGCTGGTGCCACTTGACGTGACTGCATCTTCCGCGAGCTTTCATTGACCCTCTTTCTCTGCCTTCTGTCACGGGCTTGACCACCAAGAGAGAGACAGGGGTCCTGGTTGCCAACTTGACAAAGCACAATCTCCGCTCACCCATTCCAAAGATGTCATGCTTTTCTTAGTAGCAAGTACATTCAAATAAAGAAAAGAATGGTCCAGGCTTCCCCTTGTTTCAGGGTCTCTATGGCGCCCACCTTGATATACGCGAGGGACATGACAACGCAGCTGTACAGGATGTGAACGCCCGCCAGCACGAAGATGAAGGTGTGGATCTGGTGCATTGCCTCCACGCCAATGAACGGAATGCGCCCCTGCAACACCACACATCACAGACGCTCACTACGGCGCTCCCTTCACCTGCTTCCTCTTTGCTCAATGCCTGAGGCCCTCAACTTGAAGGCATGTTTGAAGAGCGACCTTCTGTGAGGGTGAATCTAGCTTCTGCAAGGGACAGGCGATATGGCACTGCAAATCTTCTGATAGGAATCTTTGTGCCATGCTTCCGCACAAAGAGTTTCGCAAAAGCATCCTTTCTGTGCACTGACCTCTGGGCAGGTGGAGGCTGATTCTGCGAGGAGGCGCCGGCGGTGGCCTGCCTCGGTGGTGTTGCCCAGGAGGGCCTCCGTCTCCGGCAGCTCCTCAGGGTTGCATAAGAGGAAGGTGCGGCGCGTCGAGGTGATGGGCACGCAGATGCCGGCAAACGACGCCTGGAACACGGTCAGGAACAGGCTGATAAATCCCAGCAGCATCAGCTCTGCAAGGACAACATAAAAGGGGGGCGCTGAATACGGGGTCGAGCAGTGACAACGCACAGGGAGCCAATGTTGGCCGAAAGGGTTTTGTCAAACAAGAAGGGCAAAATGGGCGCACATTCTGACATGAAAATGCAGATTCAGGCACTGAAGTAGCAAGTCATGTGTTCAAGAACACTTCCCGGTTGGACAAGGAGACAGGGGCAAGTCACGGCAAGGCTGTTCATCTAAGAAAGGCTCACCCTCTTTTATGGACTCAAGAGCTTGCAATAGTTGCTTGTTCTTCGTTTTCTTGAAGTACTGCAAGAAGGAAGACAGCATTCATTTAGGGCAATTGCGAGAGTTGGGGACACCTGTCAATGATAGCTCGTCAAAAGCAGCAAGCGCGACAAGTACTCCGCTGAGAACACTAACAAGCGGGCACATATGTTGAGAGGATCTTTCCCCCCCTTTACAACATTCGCTTTAAATCAGAAATTCAAGTACTCAGGCAGAGGCTTCCTCACATTTTTGAGCATCAGTGGCCACCAACAGAAGCTGGTGGGCACCCTGCTGACCTATGATTATCTGAGAAGGGCGTTTGTCGTGAAACTCTTGCACAATGCTCACTTCACAGCTCACCTTTCCAAGATAGTGGATGGACCGCTCGATGATGAGGGACACGGCCACAAAGATGCCAATAATTGTCCCCGAGCCGTAGCTGGGGGTATTGAGCATATCCGGCCCCGAGCACACCATGGTGCCCGCTTGTTAGAAACCCTGAGGCTGACGAGTAGGAAAACAAAAGACTGTGGCACAGACAGCAGCCGCACAGGGCCCAACTCCCCAGCTCTCAAGAAACACCAAATCTGCCTTCCTAATGCACCTTACAAAGCACGCTTCAATCCTCACCACCCTCCTTATCACACGAGCTAGCTCAGCAGAAATCCACCCAATAGTCCCTGCTGGCGTGACTTTAACAGCATCAGATGCTGTGCCAATGCCAACGCCGATGCGACCAATGCCACCAATGCCAGTCCCAGGCAATTGCAGAGGAGTGGGCCGCAGATTCCGTCACTTTCCGCCAGTTTCCCTCATGTGCAGCCTGCAGTGCTACGGGAAACGTAAGCATACCGCAGCTGCAATGTCGACATCCGGACTCAACATTCACATGTCAACTTTCCGGAAGAGCGGCCGAAACGGAATCCGGCAAGTCCGGCAGAAAGCCTGTCCGGTTCCGCTCGTAGGACGTTCCGTTCTTCCGGCCAGTCCGTTGTTTAATACAGCATGCTGCATGTCTCTCTCGTTGCTCATCGTTGACGATTCGAGCATGCAAAAACATTATTAATATTTCAATCAGATTCACAACGCTAAGCAACAAGCAGCATTATGGCGGGGGCCGTGTGCAAGTGTGCAAGCATTCCAAGTTTTTCTTGTGCGCCCTCGTTGGCACCTCTAGATACGTTGAGTCCTCAAAGCCCTTCCTCTTCTTTCTTAAGCGCGACCAGGCGCAGAGGATCAAGGGTCACACAGAAAGAGCGCCGCTCACAGGTACTTTGTAATGCTGAATGTGAGGAGCAGGCAGGGGTGAGCAGAGATTGTGTAACCAATCAGAACCTTTTGCCGCGGCGACATGCATTGGCTGCTCTCTCTGCGACCGCCGTCGCAGCAACCTTGCAAAACAGAGCTGAAGCTGTACAGGGCATGGTCGCTGGGCGGCTACCAGGACTTGGGCCCGAGGATGCAGACGGTGCGAATCCGAGGTGGCCCTAAAGCACTCCGATTGGGAGTAAATTTTGCGAGATCTATCTGGCCCTTCCAATGTTCCTGTTAATGCTGTAGCAAACAACTTTTGTCTGCAAATAAAACTCCAGATTGAGTGGCATGACTCAAAGATCGTCAATGGAATGTTCCTTGAAGGGTGTGACTGTTGGCTTGCGTTGTGGGGCATCCTGGCAAAACTTTCTCTCATCCTCTTTTCTCCTTCATTGCGAATTGGAGGTGGGGCACCATACTTGGGTTACGTGTTCAATTCTGCATCAATAGGATTCCTCTAAAAGGTCTCATGAACTTCCTGATTTATGGTAGTGGAAGCCAAGCGTTTATCCTTATTTGCTTTTGCACTTTGAGGTTGGTGTGGGCAATCTCATTACTGGAGATGGTGACCGTATTCATGCATGAAGGTGCTTCCACCTGAAGATAGGATCCCAAACTTTTTGCCAGTCTCTGCGTGTCTGCGTGCTGTCGGGTTACTGACGACACTTTTGCCTTCCAATGTGACTTTTCCATGTGAATGGGGACCATGCACACCGTGTTGGCACTTGCCGAGGTCTGACTACTTGGCCCGCTTGCCCCGTCTGATGACTTGATGCTGTACAGGATTCCGCAAGTACACCCGCCCTGAGGGGAAGTCTGGAGGCCATGGGGTGGGCTGGACAGAGGTAGTTCATCAGTCCTGGCCCCCTATGTTGTCTGCCCCAACGCACTCTTCTCTGCAAAAGCTTGGGCTTGCTGATCCTTGTGAAGCTCGTCGCACTCTATTCGAGTGAACGCACTCGCTTTCAGACAATCTTTTTGGAAGATTCTTCAAAAACGAAGATAGGCTTTGAAAATCAGTTTGTCTTTAGTGCCACAAATCTTGCTTTTACCTGGAGCTGTCGAGACATTTGACAATTGCCAGGGACATCACCCAACATCACAGGGACATGGCAGGCAAGATATTGTTGTGACGGTGTCTGATCTCCTTGTTTTCTGATGCAGTTTGACCCCTACTCCTTTAGGATACCTGAAGGCTGGGAAGAGGTAGGTCCCAGGCAAACGGCTTTGTTTATCTCATTGTGTAGGTCTAAGAAAGTCTACTGCAATAAAACTGATTAGTAGGACCCGCCGATTGTAACAGCCTCGGTGAGTTTGACAGTTAATCTTCAGCAGTCGTCATGATATCTTCGAGGTGGTGCTCGGACAATGGAGCACGTTTTAGATGTCCACTCACCTACGAAGTCCAAATCAGTGCAGATATCCTGTAAGCTGGGCGATGGGCTTCGTTGAGGCCGCAACTTCAATCAATGGGGTCCAACTTGTGTTTCTCCTGCAGGTCCCCGTGTCAATTGCTGATCTAGGGGGAACCGAGATTGACCTGCGGTTCTCCAATCCGGCTCAAGGAAACATCAGCGTTGTTGTAGCCCCAGTTCTCCGCTTTGCGGACTGTGAGTCTGGCGCTCGGCCTTTTCGAACTTCCGAACCTGATAAATTGCTGGCGAAATCACCAAACAAGTCATGAGGACGTCCTTGATGCATGTGCGCTTTACTTCCAAAGATGCTGCTTGAAGCTCGAAAGCCATTTTCTCAGTAGAGGAGGAGAGTGGTGTTCTTTGACCCTCAGAATGTGCTTCAATGTATCTAAACAATTTCCACAGGCGCCTTGTGCCTGTATCGCTCGCAAGCGAATTATGCCTGTCTGATTCGTTTCACCAAAGCGGTCGAGAAGATGAGGCCCAACTGCTCACTTGTATGCAGTGGGCGAAAATCCCACCATCGACATGATTGGCAGTCCTGACAAGGTCATCAACGCGTTCGGACCTGAGGCAAGTTGTTCACGTCTTGTCGAGTCTCTCAGTCCCATTTTACTTTGATCAAAATACAGATTGTCTGGTATATGTTGCTAGTTTCCATAACCCAAACTCCTTACGATCGTCGAAAGGAGGACCCTCGTCACGTGACCCTCGTTTTCGACCTCTTTCGTGATGTTGAACAATAGTTGTCGGGAAAGGTGGTTAGAGTCAACGACTGAACGATAAGCTTAGGTTCGGCAGTTACGAAGAGAGCAGCCAATGAAGTTGACGGCAACGGCAGGCTGCTCCGTCCAACTTGGTGTTGATTTGAAGGGCCACTCGCCGAGCAGGTGATTGGGCAAGTGGTGGACGACAAAGTCGTGTACGCGCGGTCGGAGACAAAGGAGGACCGCAGGCTGTACTACCAGTTCGAGCTCAACGGCCCCCATGTGAGGACCAGCATGCCGCACAGAGGTCGTCGTAGGAGTCGAGTCTTTTGAATGATTACCAACCTTTGTTGTGCACCTGTTTGAAGTCTTGTACATCTTTTGGCCTGCTGTGAATCTTTGATCTTGTCTTGCTTGCCCTTATTTTGCAAGTATGGTTCCATTTCCAATCTCCAATTGCTCCATCCAGGTCCTCATCACTGCTACAGCTGCCAGCAATCGTCTGTACCTCTTCAACGTCTCTGCAACAAGTAAGTACGAAATTTGAGTCAGCGTAGCATTGGGATCCCAAGTACACCTGCTACAGAATCCTGATCTGAAACACTTGATTGATCTGGGCGAAGTTGCACAAATCTGGCGACTTTGCTGCATTACCCAAGCATGCATAGGATGTTGTCTGCCCGTCGATCGTGAGGCGGTGGTTTTGATTCCGTTGCCCCCGTGGATGTGCAGCTCGACAATGGAAAAAGTCCGAGGCTACCCTGAGGAAAATAGCGGATTCCTTCCGGGTCGCAAAACGAGCTCCAAGATAGAGTGCTTGTGTTGCTTCTTGCCAAGGGGAGCGCAATTTTTGACAAACTTGACACCGGACTGAGCGTATTAGAGTTGGTTGAAACATGAAGTGATTTTGCACCGCCAATTGGTGCAGGATGAATCAACAAATACCAATTATACGTCCTTTGCGTCAATGTAATGAGCCTTTCAAAGCCCCGACGCACAAAGATCCGTTATTGAGCATGGCAAAGTACAGAATACTTGAGCTATCAGAAACATAGAAAAGAATGGCGAGATCCTAAGCGCTGCCGTATGTGCCCTTGCAGGCTCAGAATTAGGTGATGCAATGCATATTGGTACTAGCGCACGCGCGCTGGAGTAGTCCTAGTCATGTGCCATAATGAGTATATGGTATTCTCCGAATCCTATTGTCAGATGATATTCTAGCTTGAAACGGCGTTATATGCACCTTATTGTCCAAAGAACTTCCGAAAATGATTGTGCAGAATCATTTGGAGTTCTAATTGAACAATATGGGGTCCAAACCTTTCGAGAATGAAAGGCATGGATTTATGGTCTTGCCTATGGACTGTATGGACATGCATGTGAGCGCAACTTAATGAAGTTGTGATACGAAGTTGCGATCATAATTGACAAAGTGGACAAGTGGTGTCCGACCCATGTCCGACGCTTCGAGAGTTTGCCGAATTTGTTCCGAGGCTGCGTTACAGCAAATTAAAACCTCGCGCTTACAAACATGCTGACAGAGCGCTAGCACTGCTTTGTATCTTGGATTTTACTACTACTTCGCCGGTACGTACACTACAGAAGCTCCAGTTGCAAGAATTGTTGCAACAACGATTCAACATGAGAGTTGGATCTGCAGTGCATCTAGAGGCGGCCGCATTCAACGATCGCTGTGGCATGCATGGCACGAATCGCACGATGGACGGCTCTCAAGCTGTATATCCTACCGTACACATTCAATGGAATTTGGTTCACTAAGTTCAAGGCTGGCGGTCCCAACCTTTATCTGAACCTCACGAGAAGGCTCGTAGGCGACTTCAAGCAGAAACGACGAGAAAATCAAGGTCCTCTTCGAGAGGAGCTATGACGGTTAGAAGATTAACGCATGGACGTGAGAGCTCGCTAGGATATTGCCAAACTTTTTGACTTGATTTAGCACTGCAAGTTCAGCACTGGCCAAGTTGATTGCAAAGTCATTCATTGAATGAATGATAGGAAGTGAACTTCTTATACTCAACCTGACTCCTGAGCCGTCCACTGCAACATTTGCTGAACGTTTCATCTGAACCGTCCAATGTGTCCAACTGTATTGCTAAAATCTGCTTGTCCAAAAAGTTGCACTGCAGACTGCAGCAGTAGACCTCTACAGTTTCTTCTCCACCTTGAACTTTCAGAGCAAGCGGCATAGGGGCGGCATAGGTCTCATTACATATCAATTCAATCTGGCGTAGAGTTGTTAGAAACGCTTCTAAGTTAGCAAAAAACGCATCGTACATTTGGTTTCACCAGGTGGCGCGTGTCTTCAACTTTCAGCTCCCATCGTTGCTCCAAGGGAATCCCTCTGTTCGCAGCAATGAGCGCCATGATGGTAAGTGCGCATTAAGAGAAGGACAATCATTTGCAGACTGTTGTTTTGTAATCAAGCAGTGGTCAAAGTGCATGATGTTTAGTGGAGTCAAGGTGCTCGTCAATCGATTCATGGTTTTTATCATGTTCTGTTTTCCCTGCTCATTTGGTTGCCTCCTGTTTTGCAGCAACCCCAAATCATCCTCTTGAAAGAGGGGACTGATACTTCGCAAGGCAAGGCTCAATTGATCAGCAACATCAATGCGTGCGTGGCCGTTGTGGATGCGATCCGTACGACGTTAGGGCCGCGGGGCATGGATAAGTTGGTCCATGATGACAAGGGGACCACAACCATCTCCAATGATGGAGCCACAATCATGCGCCTTCTGGAAATCGTTCACCCAGCTGCTAAGACGCTGGTCGATATAGCCAGGTCGCAAGATTCTGAGGTGCGCTCTGCTCAATCTGCTTAAAGACAGTCTTTTGTTGCTCATTTGTCAGCCAGAATGACATTGAACTCAAGCAACCATTGCACCACCGCAAATTTTGCAAGTTCAGTGGCTCAATATGAGATTTTGAGCAAGCGTCCAGAGGCCTCCCTTTGTGTGGATGCTCCACTTGGTGTACTTGTGCGGCATCAAGCCATGCCACTACACCACCATCGGAAGACCAAGCTGAATCCAGTTTTGCATTTTATATAGGATCCTTCTGTGAGCAGACACAATCTTGGTAATGATGCGTCTGCAACTAGCTAAGGAACTTGCCGATGCAAGTTAGAAGTCAAAGTAATACGCAGCTTTCTTTGATCAGCACAGCTAAACAACAAGATCATCGGCGCGTGGCATACACTTTCACTGTGTTTCCCCTTTGTCATTTTTAATGTGGCGTCTTGCAGGTGGGAGATGGGACTACCACCGTGGTCTTGCTGGCAGGGGAGTTCTTGCGGGAGGCCAAGCCGTTCATTGAGGACGGGGTGCACCCGCAGCTCATCATCCGCGCCTTCAGGACGGCTGCTCACCTGGTGAGGCGCTAACCATCTTGACATCTGTGATTGTGGTGGTGAAGCAAGCGGTGTCGTGTACCATCATTTGCCAACAAGCAGATTTCGGCCTTTGATCCTCACGACGGAGCAGGATATTGAAGGTAATCTGATCACGTCAAAATCCAAGCTGACAGCATCGCAGGATGTTCCCAGCAGCTTTTGGGCGGTTGGGTGGATGCTGCCACCAAAAGCTCGCAGCTTTCTGGATGTGACATAGGAAGACTCAGCACCTTACCGGCTGCAAGACCCTTGAAGTCCAATTGCGATGAGAACCTCCAGTTGAGATTGAGTGGTGCTAAGACGGGGAAATGACAGGAACGGAGGCAGGATTTTGTGGCTCTTGGAGGGACTTTTTCAATTTTCACAAATCCATCTTGGTGTGAGGTGTGTCGCTGATGTTTTCCTCTGCGGCAGGCTGTTCTCAAGACAAAAGAGCTGGCCATCAGCATCGAGGGCAAGGACCGCGAGGACAGGAACCAGCTGCTGCAGAAGTGTGCAGCCACCACGCTGAACTCGAAACTGATAGGGGGGGAGAAGGAGTTCTTCTCAAAGATGGTGGTGGATGCCGTTTCGATGCTAGATGAGGATGTGCGGCTGAGCATGATTGGGGTCAAGAAGGTGAGCGGTTGCTCACAAGTGGGATGGTGCGCACACGTGAAAGGACGACCAGGACTGGCCGTTGAGATGCAGAGTATGCGTTCAACGAGCCAACCATGTGAAAACAGTTGCTTGCCAATCATTCCCCCCTTTCAGAGGCTCTGGTACAACAGGAGGTATGTCAAGCATAAAGTCCTTTTCTGCGGGATAGATTCGCCTGGGTCCGGCTCTCAATGATGATTTGGACGGCGGAGTCGTCGCTTATGCATAGGATGAGATGACACTCGTCCACTAACCTTGTTTGACGGTGTTGTCTCAGGTGCAAGGGGGCACCATGCGCGACTCGTTCCTGGTGCAGGGGGTGGCGTTCAAGAAGACCTTCTCATACGCAGGCTTTGAGCAGCAGCCCAAAAACTTTGAGGATGCCAAGATTCTGCTTTTGAACCTGGAGCTAGAGCTCAAGTCGGAAAAGGAGAATGCGGAAGTCAGGTAATTCTCGCACCCGCTGCAGACAAAGCTTCTGCAGTGGACTCAAACCGTCCTGGCCTGCCTGTATCTTTGCGAACTCCTTTGATTGATCTGGCTTCAAGCGTACACTTTTAGAATCGGAAGTCGTTTTTTACCCCATGCTTCCCCCATCAACTGCGGTGGTAGGTTCGGGGATTGAATTGCTTGGAGTGTAGACTTGCTTCAACTGATTTGGCTTGGGCCGTGTTTGCAGGTTAACTGACCCCGCTCAATACCAGTCCATAGTGGATGCGGAGTGGAACATCATTTATGACAAGCTGGATAAGTGCGTCAAAAGTGGGGCCAAAGTCGTCCTGTCTCGTCTGGCCATCGGAGACCTGGCAACACAGGTGGGGCACCTGTCTTCTTACGAACGCTTTTGATGAGTGGACGCTTCCTGTTGGGATTGTATTCTGTCATCTCTGCAGGCTTGTTGTCGTCGATAAACTTTGCGCTTGGATTCTGAATCATCAAAATTGGAAGAATCCGTTAGAAAGTGGCGAATCGGGAGTCCCTATCCTTCAGTCGTTCGTAGTAGATAGCCGCAGGTAGTAGGCAGTAGGCGTCAGCAAAAGGGGTGGCCCAAGGACTTGAGTACAGGGCAGCTGTCCTTTGATTTGTTTGTCCAAAGAGACTGCAGCTTGACAAACTCCGAAACACAACTTCTTCGGATGAGTTCAGGTCGTCCTGAGTTTGAGCTGCACTCTTATCAAGCGACTATGGTTCCTGACGGGCAGACGGTAGAACCTCATTTGCGAGATTTGAAGACAGATTGAGACAACCGTCATGGGTGATGCGCACTGATTAGCTCAGTGCAAGAGAAGCAGTTTGGACGAGATCGTTGACTCTGTTCCGGCTGTGTGCAGTACTTTGCGGACCGGGATATCTTCTGCGCGGGCCGCGTGGCGGAGGACGACCTGCAGCGGGTGGCGAGCGCGACGGGCGCGCAGGTGCAGACGACGGTGAACAACCTGGTGCCGGAAGTGCTCGGCTTCTGCCAGCACTTCGAGGAGCGCCAGGTCGGCAGCGAGCGCTTCAACATCTTCACCGGCTGCACGCAGGCAAAGACCGCCACCATCGTGCTCCGGGGAGGCGCGGAACAGGTGCGTTCACTTGTCGCCACAGCAATGGAACGATTCTGCACTCAGAGCTCCAATTTGTGAAGATTGCTAAGGTTCGTTATCGTCTATATTGCTTTCTCCATTTATGCATCGAGATTCATACCGCTTACTCTTGACATGAAAAGAAGGACGACTTGTAAGTACTTCGTGGTTCTGAGTCTTTCACAATACAGTCAGCTTCTGTCGACAATCGTTATTCAGTATGGTTTGAAGTGACCCTATGCAGACACGACTGCCTTGCAACCTCCTTTGAGCTGCGAATGGTTGAAGAATGTGGCCCGCTTTCAGGATGAGCCCGTAAGACCTCGCAAGATTGCCACCAGCTACGCCCGTCATCAGTTCCCTGGCTGCGCTCTAACATTCAATCCCATCATGTGCGTGTGCAGTTCATTGCGGAGGCTGAGCGCAGCCTTCACGATGCAATCATGATTGTGCGGCGCGCAATCAAGAACCAGGCGGTGGTGCCAGGTGGGGGTGCGATCGACATGGAGGTCAGCCGGCACCTGCGCAACTACGCGCGCGGCATAGCGGGCAAGGCGCAGCTCTTCATCAACGCGTACGCAAAAGCATTGGAGGTCATTCCGCGCCAGCTGTGCGACAACGCGGGCTTCGATGCGACCGACGTGCTCAACAAGCTCAGGCAGAAACACTCCCTACCCTCAGGTGAGCAGTGCTGGGACACAATCTCCTAAGAAGCTTTGGAGTATGTGCTCCGAAGCTCCTTACGTTACATTGAAGGGGCCTTCGCTGTGAGATGCTTTATTTGCTTTACCATCTGGCAAACTTCAAATTAGGCAGCTGGTTCCCGAGGTCCGGACTCGACCGTCCCTAATCACGACTGCACTGTCCGACGGACGTTCCTTTACTCGGAAATCTTGACCTTCTTATGTGTTGACATGATGAGCGGCTTATGGGGAGTGGTGCACTGAGGGCTTTGCTCTGCGTGTAGGCGAGGGGGCGCACTACGGGGTGGACATCGACACGGGCGGGATCACGGACACGTACGAGGCTTTCGTGTGGGAGCCGTCCGTGGTCAAGGTCAACGCGTTCAACGCAGCCACCGAGGCCGCCTGCCTCGTGCTCAGCGTGGATGAAACCATCAGGAACCCACGGGTAAGCGCAAGAAAGCTGTTGACCAAGGAAGCCGGCAAAAGTGGAAGCTGTAAATTGAGTTAAGGGCAGGCTACCCATCAGCCAGGTTCCCGGACTCATCAAACTCACATATTAGACTGAATCCACCTTCGTGCAGCGCTATGCGCCTGTGCGGACGCCTCGGCTCATCGTATTGATTTAGTCCAGAGTTGTGGGTCTCTTTTTTGGCATACCTGCGATTTGGTGGCTGGCCTATCGCCAAAGAGCGTGGAATGCTTCCTGAGCTTCGCGTTTCTTGCGCTGTTTGCCTTGGATACTGACTCCAATTCCTTTGCTCAAATACGCTGGATTTTGCTGCAATTGAAAAAGCAAGGTGCTTCGGATTTGGCTGATCGGACATGGAACTTGCAAAGAAGTCGTGCGCATTTCGATGTAGGTGGTCAATGTGACATGCAGAAAGCTGTCTCGACGGAAAGGCCTCGGGCCGCTACCTTTGCTGATTTGTCCCATCCTTTGTGTCCTTGCAGTCGTCTCAACCTGGCGACGATGGCATGGCAGGAATGCAAATGCCGGGACGAGGCCGCGGAGGAGGCATGCGTGGACGGGGGAGAGGGATGCGGAGGCGTTAGGCATGGTCGAAAAATCAGACTGAGTACTGGCTAAAATGGGCGAAGACGATCTTCGAAGTATGCCATGATGCAACTAAATCACTTTTGGTGACCAATGTGTCTCACATTTCCTGCTTTCAACATCAAAGCATGTTACTGCTTCCGAAGTTTACCAAGATCGACGAACTTGTTTGGTGGCTTGCAAGAATCAACGAGTACGTGTGAATCTTTCCTTTACACAAATGATTGCCGGCGAAAGCTTTCAGGCTGTAGGCGTACACGACGTCCTCCAGCCTGCGCTTCCTTGAAATTGGGATACTGACTTACTTCTAGCTTAGACCAACACTGCGCTATAATTTCACTTCATTGCATCCGACCTCCTCGTGCACGCATATGCATGCTATAGATGTTGCATGCAGCAAATAGTGCAATTGTAATTTGCTGGTTCGTGTCAAGTGCATGGCCGGCGGCATGGATTTCAGATATGCACATGCACATGTCGCCCACCACTTTCTTATAGAGAGCTTATACCGTATGATCCCGCGCGCCAGCCAGGTTTCGGGCCGGCTGTTCGAGCTGCAGCTACACTCTTGATGTGAACTGAAAAAACGCCGGGCCTGTCCCGTCAACTATTGAAGACAGATTTAACATGCTCTTCGGCGTGATGGCCGCCAGGCAATCAGCTTTCGTGGATGCACAGACCTGGCCTGTGTTTTCAAATTATAAATCCAAGTCAATCGGCAGCTATCTGCAAACGTTCTAGGCTGAGCACTGCGCAGTACATACCTTTGCATTGAATGTGATCGAGTAATCACAAGACAATGCCAACTCGTTGCAATCTCCGCCTGTTAAGAGGTTTCAGCAGTCACTAATAACAGTTCAAGTTGACCGAGACCTGTCTGCTTGCTGCGTGCTTCATTCTAGCGTGCCGTTTAGGTCGTGTTGAGAAAACTCGTCCACCATTTTGCAGACGATTTCGGATACCTCTTAAGATCGTTCTTGTAGTCGACGAAGTGCAGCCCAAACCGCCGCGAGTAGCCCATCATCCATTCGAAGTTGTCAAGAAGGGACCTGTAGAATAAAAGCAACGCCTTCAAGCATGCGAAAGGAGGACCAAGAATCGTCACACATGATGCAGTACTGTGTTCTGAAACACCGCTTTTGACCTTGACGCCCTACTGTTGTGCATGTGGGTCCAGTGGTAGAGAGAAACTTCCGGCGAGGCTGGTCAAGCGGCCAGGACGGGAGCTGAGCCCAGTCAGTCGGGGCCAACCAGGCGTGAAACGCTTACCAGGCCATGTAGCCACGCACGTCGACGCCCCGGCTGCAAGTGATATGATGCTGATGTTAGGCGGCGTAGATAGCGAGACGAGCATTTCAGAAATTCCTACTTCCGCAACTCTTGAGTGGCATATCCTTTGCACAATTATCGAGTGTAGGCAGTGTGACTATCCAGAGAGGGGAAGGAGTCAGATGGTGGCCCTTAGGACTCGCCTGATGGCCCGCAGCACGCTGTGCAGGTAGTCCTGGTAGTACTTGACACGCGTCGGGTCGTGTAGCGCCGCCTCCAGCGGCAGGGCCGGATCGTTCAACTCGTCCACGCCTGCGCACAAGCACGGCCACCTTATCAACGTGGAGACGGCCGGTGACGAACGTGCAACCTGGCTATGAGTATGAGAAGAGTAGTAAGAAAGGCTAAACTTGCTAATGCCGCCAAAAGCAACAACCCCGACCTCAATCGAAGAAACGTATAGCAGTAGTACCAAAAGCCGGTGACCGTTTTGGGATTCCACTTGGGGAAGGCGACGACATGCACAGCGCGCTCTTGGGTTGCTTGCAGCTCCGTCTGCACCATCATTTCTGAGTTCATCCACAAGTTCGTTCGAAGGCTAAAGTTGCCGAAAAGCTGCCAGCTTCTCCTTCGTGCAGGGCTCACCATTTTCTGTGATGTAGATGGGCGGCGCCCCGTAGCGCTCGCTGATCCAGACCAGCAGCTTCTCGAGCCCCCACGGCACAATGTACAGCCACTCGGACGCACCACGTGGACCAATAGCCGCGCCGTCCTTGAAAGCTGGGGGCGCAAAAACAGGAAACGCCACGTCAGAGGGACATCAAGATGGCGAACGGTCTAAGCAAAAGCGACATTCCTACGAAGCGAAGACTTCCCCAGGGAGTCGACGCACTCACCAACTCAACGCTGGAATCCCGGAAAGTGCATTAGGTGTAGAGGTCAAGAAGCCTCCAGACAACTGCTCGCCATTTAAGAACAAGCAGTGCGTTGGAATGCTGTAATCTAGAAGCGTAGAGCGAGGGTCCATTGTATCTAAAGGAAACATTGCGGGGAATGAGGGCTACAACGAGACCCAATTGACGGGACCGGCCGACAAGAACCACGGTAAGCTTGCGTGGCGGCACCCTCACCCGTGACGTCAACCCAGGCGTCGCGGTAGAAGGAGCTGGTCTCGGGCGACTCGGGGGGGCTGCCGTTGCCGACCCAACGCGAGGTGTAGTGATTCACGCCAATGAAATCTACAGATCCCCGCAGAGAGGCGCTCTCGGCCGGAGAAAAGGACGGCAAACGGGAGCCCAAATTTCGCCGCATGGAGGCAGGGTAGTCACCGCGAAAGACCGGGTCGGCGAACCTGCAAGCAGCTGACGTTTATACGGTGTGGCATGATCGAATAGAAATTCTCGAGCTAGAGTTCACCGGGGCGCTGGTATTGTGACGCGGGTGCAAAAGAGTCTCGAAAGGGAGGAACGCCCGGTTGAGCTAAGGTGGGCGGCACTAACTATGCACTGCAAGGACATGGGATTCGGAACGGTATGTGTGTCCAGCTCTCCTTATCGCTGACGTCGATTGGCTGTCGAGTGCCATAGGAGACTAATTTGCATGCAGCTGTCCTCTGTTTTAAAACATGCTTGAGCGGGGCAGGCACACGACACGTTTCTCGTGATGGAAATGAAGCAGGGGGCCTTCTCTACATCAGGAGCTCACCATCCGAACGTGAACTCCAGGCGTCTCTGCGCAGCTTCCACGTCCTCGGGGGCCGACGTGGACGGCTCCGACCAATCGGAGTCGAGCGTAATGCCAATACTACCGTTTTGAGTACCCTGTATAACGCACAAGCGCAAGGGACCGTCACTTATATTGGCGGACAGTGATGCCTCGGAATCAGTGAGTGAAGAAAGTTGTCACTCAAATAGTCGGAACTCGCAAGATGCTAATATGAAAGTGACGCCCTCTGAAAACGTCAGTCCAAAAAGTCAGATACAAGCTGGGCTCGACTGCTTATAAGCAGACTGTCCGGTTCCGCGAAAATGTGGGGCTGGCATCAAAAGTGCCTCGAAACCTTCAATTTTGTAGCTGGACAATGCAAGAACTTCAAAATCCACGAAGCTGGCCATATCTAGAAGATCCGGTTTGCAATCATAGGAGGCCACAGCCCGCATCTTTGTGTTGAAAGCCTTTGTGGTGGCAATTACGTGCGAACTGCTCGAATGAAGCCTTGCCAACCCCTCTCACCTTGAAGTCCTGTCGGTAGACCTCCACCGCTGCAGCATGCGCCTTGAGCACGTTATGCGACACCAGATACGGCTCAGTGGCGCTGTTGCCTTCCGGAGACCGGCTGCGGTCTGAGGAGCGGCCAGGGGCCATGATGCCCTCCCCCCACCCCAGGTTGCCTGCGGGGGAGGAAGCGACGACCTACTGAAGCAATTAAGGACAGCGACACAAGGAGAAACCCCAAAGCAAAACTGAAAATCACTGGCCGACGTGCGGGCTACAAGAAGCTGCTTCTGACACAGCTAGAAATAAAAGTTGAGCATGGAATCTCCATTCTTGGCGCTTATTGAGCTTGATCGGTGCATACACGGCGCAGGCAGAGACGGCGCTCACTGAAGGTCATGGGTTCGTTGAACGTGAGCCAGTGCTTTACGCGGTCGCCAAACTCGCGGAAGCACACCCGCGCATACTCCCGAAAATCCAGCCTGAGACACAAAAGCGGTGCTGGGTCAATTCTGCCGTCAAAGCCGCTGTGCAGTGTTCACGCGAGCAAAAGGCCATCGCCGGTCACGTCACCAGTTCTTCAGAACTGTCCCGAAGCGAGACGTTTTCCCTGTTGTTGTTCAGAGCAATGCAGTGCTGGAGCAACCTCAACAAGCAGAGGGCATTCGAGAATATGGTGAGATGACTAGTGCAACAGTCAACTTTTTGGTACTTATCACAAAGTTGGGGCCAGATTTGGCCAGTACCTACACTGCCTGCTCATTCAACCAGCCTCCGTATTCGGTCTCCAAAGCCTGGGGGAAGTCCCAATGGTACAATGTCACAAATGGCCGGACGCCTGCACCAAGGGAAAACCACTTAAGGACACACTGGATTTGACACTCATATCACTCTGAATACAAGACACGGGTTTGATGGTGGAAGCGTGATGGTAGCCAACATTAACAATTGGTACAGGGAGTGCTCTGATCTGGGGAGCGAGCACGTGGCCCAAGCGGCGCTGCAGGGCCTCTGGTTGGCGGCACCACAACTGCAATTGTACGCAGATTCGTGGGGCCTGCCAAGAGGCCAGGTATCCATCAACGATGTTCGCGTTGCATGGCACACGCGGGTTAGCAGGGTGCTCTCATCACCTTGCCGAAGGAGCTCGTCTATGAGTTCATTGTAAAAAGCCACCCCTTCCGTGTTGACTGTTCCGCGTCCCGTCGGCAGGACTCGGGACCAAGAGATGGAGAAGCGGTACCAGCCCATCCCCATGGACTTTATAAGCTGGACATCTTCCTGGAGTGAAAACAAAGAAACCCTTTGTTAAAAACCTAGTATAACACCGGCTCATTGGCTTCGCACATTGCAATGCAGCCGTGCAATCCAGGCTCAATTGCACAAAGGATGTAATCGAGGAAATACAAACCCGCGCACTGACCCACACAGAATATACACCACTATACAGCATCGAATCAAAGCAAGGGCAGGGCCCAGAAGAAACCCATGATCCTTGCTGGATGCGCGCACTTTGAACCGATTGTAATGATCGCATGCGATGTCGCCGGTGTCCCCTCCAAGGATTCGTTTTGGCTCATGCGAGAAGGTGTCCCAGATGCTGGGGCCCCGCCCCCCTTTGTTCCAGGCCCCCTCCACCTGGTATGCTGCGGTGGCAGCGCCAAATGCAAAGTCCTGGGGGAACATGTCATGTCTGATTGGGCTTCCTTCCTGGCACAGCCAACTCTGAAGGGCAGCGTCGTTGGCGTCAGGGCTGCCCTGCTTGTGGCCTATGCTGGCAATCCCGGCCATCGCTTTTGGAGCGGAGAGCTCAGGCTCGAATGCACAGAATTGGAGATCACCAAGAGCTGCAGCAGCTTGCTGCCAGAGATGATGCGTCAAGATTGCAACGAGCAACGGCAAAAATGCTGAGATTGGTAGTCTTCTCCACTGCATTCTTTTCTCTTCGCCTTTGCCCAAGGCGTTCCAGAAAATAGATGGTCCGCAGCTGAGCTTTTGGCTGCCCATGAAATTTTGCTACAGGGTTTCTTTCCTTCCAGCCTAGTCAGGGTTTTGCTATTTGGGGTTTGGAGTTTCCCATGCAGGACTTCCCCTTTACGGCAGCCTTCGGTTGCCTCGTCAGCATCTGCTAGGATTTTGAACTGTGCAGTGTGAGAAGCTAGTGTTGAATGTTCTCTTGTTGTGGGGAGAGCGTCCCCAGACGGCTGGAAGCAACCCTTTGCTTCAACTGTTGCATCTTCTTGTTTGTGGACTTGCCTTGCACGAACAAAAGGAAGGATGGACCGACTTCGCGTGTTGGCCCGGCACCTGCGGCCCGAGGAGTCTGCTGGCGCTGAGCAAAGTAAGTGTTCAAAGCCTTTCGCAGCTTTAGGCTTGATGCCCTTGCCAGAGATGTATGCAGGTCAATTGGGGACTGTTGCAAAATTGGCAGATGCAGCTGAGCAAGGATAGTTCCACACTTTTATTCTATTGGTCTGCAGCTTTGACTGTTGACGCGCACGGCTCTACAGGAAGAAGTTCCTTCCAACAGAAGCTTACTTGCTGACACAAGTGCGCTTTGCCCCAGCCGCAGTTGCTCCTTCAAGTACCTCAGCACCTGGGGCATATGTGGAAAGAGGGGCAGATTTTGTGCCAGCCGATGATATCACAATCAAGTTCCCCCAGGCAACTCCTGCTTCCTCATTCCCAAAGTCTGGTAAGCACAAAAGGATTATACTAGGGAACATCGCTGCTGCTATGAAAGTGCTAAATATTTGACTGTTGTAGAACTCTTTGGGGTGTTGCTCCTAAAGGAGCTGTAATGCCTACTCCATTGTGGCGCGCATGCTGCGGCTAAAGAATTTATATAAGCCCCTGTTTCGTTCATTGGCCAGATGTGATTCAGTGAGGACAAAGCCAGCATGACTTTTCCCTAGTTTGCAGTGTCCGACTACTTCCAGTTTGACGATCTCCTGACACCCGAAGAGCGAGCACTGCGGGTGAAGGTCCGAGCATTCATGGAGAAGGAAGTCGCTCCCATCATCTGTGTAAGTTCCAGAGGGCCACCACCCTAGGGATCATGGCTCACAAGCATGTACTTTGGCTTTGTCTGGGCGGGAGCACATGCTCCCGCCCAGAAGTTGTAGGGACGAGGCCACTCTATTACCGTATGAGCAATCCGATTTACGTTTAGACCCTCTGTGTCGTTATGCTGTTCAGGGCTACTGGGAGCGGGCGGAGTTTCCCTTTCAACTTATCCCCAAGATGGCCAAGCTCAATGTGGCAGGTTTCACGATCCAAGTGAGCAAGCCAGCAGGACGAGCCCTCTGTTCAATTCAACGGGCCCGACTCGTCTGGGTTCCGGTGTAGCAATTGCATGTTAAAAACAATCTTAACTGTAGTTCCTTGCTGCATTCCATCCGTTGATGCATCCTCTTCCGGTGGGCCGCAGTCATCTGATAACAGAAGCTCGAGATAGTTGTGCACATTAGCGAAGGCTCACGCGCTTGATAACGTCCATCCACAGGGCTATGGGTGTCCTGGCATGTCGACAGTGGCGGCTGCCATGGTGAGCGGCAACACACTCCCCTTGTTTGTTGATTCTCATGGAGTGGAATTTGCAGTGTTGTACTGGCGAGTCTCCACACCTTGTGTTGTTTGCCTGGTCGTGTGCCTCTGTCTAGAACTGATTGGGCTTGGGCCTTGTTGTGTCTTGCGGAGTGTACAACAATTTCGGACCAGAGAATTCTGCGAATCTGTTTCTTTGAGTTCTCTGGTCGAGCGCGACACTTCAACCAGCCCCTTCCTTCTAAGCAAACCATCTTCTTTTCCAGGTCGTATCGGAGGTTGCTCGGGTTGATGCATCCATGTCTACCTTCATCATGGTGCACACGTCCCTGGCCATGAGCACCATCGGTGAGCAACTGCCGCGGAAACACTACACATTCAGGCAGTGCCAAGGGAAATTCCGATGAGGCGCAGAATGTGGACAGGGCAACCACGGCAATTGTTTTGTAGACAGTCTCATTCTTCCATCGGACCGATGAAACATGCCGCGGCGTTTTCTGTCTTATTACGGCTCGAACTTCGCACGTGTGAAGGCTGAAAGGTGACAATGACACAACGACTGCTGTGTCAGTCGTTGAAAGATGCCGCACAGTAAAGTCATCGTTGTCCGCAGAGTCGTGGGTCCGTTCTGACGTCGTCATTTCTTGATGCAGCGATGTTGGGGAGTGAAGAGCAGAAGCAGCGCTACCTGCCATCGCTGGCACGCCTGGACGGGGTTGCTTGCTGGGTGAGGAAAGGGAACAACTTCAAAGGGGTGTCTCGTCTCTACTTTTCTACGAATGTTGCGGCCCTTGGAGAAGGTCTGGCACGAGTCGACTTTCATGAAAGTGCTTTCGATCTACATTCGGGAATCGTATACAACGAGGCTTCACGCCTCATCTTTCGACGATTCGAATAGATGTGTCTGTCATACTGCAGTTTAGCTTTCCCTCCCAGCCGCAATTGTCTGAGCGCGGATCACACGTTTAGAAGCAGATTCTTTATCTGTCAACTACAACTGGGGTTCGAACGCCCAGCTCGTACCACTTGCAGGGTCTGACCGAGCCCGATTATGGAAGCGATGCAAGCTCCCTCAACACCACGGCAACGAGAGTGGAGGGCGGTTGGGTGCTCAATGGGCAGAAACGTTGGATAGGCAACAGCACCTTTGCTGACGTGGCAGTCATCTTTGCCCGAAGCAAAGTCGACAACCAGATCAACGGGTGAGGCCAACGACCGTGTCGCTGAGCGCTCCCTAGCATGATTTTACAGCCGGTGCTATCAAAAGACAGGCTTTCATCAAAGCCCAATTCACTCTCGTTAGGAGTGGCCTGGACCCCTTTTGTCGAAGTCGGCGTTGAGCTGACGGCTCAGCTGGAATAAGGTGCATGTTTCTGGGCCTCGAGAGAAGATGCTAACAGTGTCTTGGTGCACTTTGCCAGCTTTATCGTGAAGAAAGGCACGGCGGGCTACCGAGCAGAGAAGATGGAGAACAAGGTGGGCCCGCCTCTCGAACCTACAAAATGAACGTCGGCCGACAATCTTTCTGCGCCGATTCATTTGCTGGTCCGATTCGTGCACTGTGAGATTTTAGAATTTTGTCTGCTTTTCGTAAGAATGCTGACGGGTTCTGCTTCGCAGATCGGGCTGCGGTGCGTCCAGAACGGTGACATCACGTTACAGAACGTCTTTGTACCGGACGAGGACCGCCTCACCGGCGTCAACTCCTTCAAAGACACCAACAAGGTGGGCACTGAGTATCGGTGCAAACTCTTGACAGCGTCCGGTCGAACCACTTACCTCCTGCCCTTCGCGGGATGTGCCAGCCTCTACACGTCACCTTTGCTACTGGGAAGGTGCTTCATCCCCACTTAGCTCTCATCAAAGGCAGAGGGGGCGCGGGGCGCTGTTTTCGCTTCTGTAAGCAACCTCGGTCACCCGAAGTTTCAAGAGGAAACAGGTTGTGGCCCCTTCTCAAGCGGCCATGCGGGTCCCCTAAGATGACCAAACGAGAGTGGTGTTTTTTATTTGATCTCGTAATCTCCGTTGCAGGTGCTGGCGATGTCCCGCATCATGGTGGCCTGGCAGCCGGTCGGCATCGCCACGGGCATCTACGATATGTGCAACAGGTAAGGCGTGGGGCCAGATATGCGTTCCGAAAGTCGGTCTGGCAGGGACTGGCAAGGGTTGCGGGGTTCCTTCGAGTAGGACGCCCCGGTGCTAGGAAACAAAAGATTGGCCGCCTCTTTTACCTGAGCATACTCGATTTCGTCTGATCAGCCCGCAGGCTCTTGACGCATCTGAGAGTTGACTTACTGGTTGATTGCACAGTTTTTGCATATTGACTGCTTTGTTCATACCTATCCGGCCAGCTGCGAGGAGACTGCGTCTTTGGAGTCCGTGTAAACGCACAGTCCCGTTCGACCGTGTGCCAATGTCCTGAAGGCGTGGCTTGACCGTCCCGCGTGCGTGCAGGTACTTGTCGGAGCGGCGGCAGTTCGGCGCGCCCCTGTCAGCGCTGCAGATCAACCAGGAGAAGCTGGTGCGCATGCTGGGCAACGTGCAGGCCATGCAGATGATGGCCTGGCGCGTCAGCAAGCTCTACGATGACGGCACCATGACGCACGGCCAGGCCAGCCTCGCCAAGGTGCGCACTCCGCAGCCCGACCGCCCCCTTCGGAGGGCTGAATCCAGTAGGGGAATTGTGCTGGCTGACTGTGTCAGGGCTGCCTCCTCCAAGAAGTCCTCTTCACATTCCTGCTAGCGTGTCTCTTAGATTGACTGCCAATTGCAGTCTCGCTCGAGCGCTGTCATGGTGTCGGCCGGCCAGCCCCTTCCCTGCAGACGTGATGTTTCTAGTAGTAAACGCTCAAGCAATCATCCTCAAATGGTCAAGCAATCATCATCAATTGAAGACACAAGTCACAGCTAGTTCAATGTTTTGCGCACTGCAGATTAGCGTTTGTTAGTTGAATGATGCACTGGCTGCCATCTCGCTCCATGTCGCAGATTGGAAGGCGGGCTACTCAGCATAGGCACTAACGTCTGCCGTCTCTCGCAGGCCTTCAACACCCTCCGGTGTCGTGAGTGTGCGGCGCTGGGTCGGGAACTGCTCGGGGGCAACGGTATCCAGGTGGACTTCCACGTGGCCAAGGTCAGTCATGTGGCACCGCTCTCCTTATGCTGAAGACGGGGAGTCAACCCCCACATTCTTCGACGACTTTATTATCAGCCTTAAGGCAGATATCCTACCTATTATACTTTCGAGAATGTCGGAAGTTCGCTAATCATGCAGAGTGCCCAGTTGGTCTGCAATGACTTCACGAGGACCGAGGAGTTGCTTGGCTGAGCAACATTGGCCGTACGTTAATGTGCGTCCATGCTTGTTCAGGCATTCTGCGACATTGAGCCCATCTACACCTACGAGGGGACGTACGAGGTAAAGAAACCATCCTTATGAATGACATTGTCTTTGGCACACGTGTGCTGCCCGCTTGTGTGATGCCAAAGCCTGCGGATTTTCTTGCGGACTTTTAATCGTCAGATCAGCGCCTGCTATGGCCTACGACTCTTCGAAGCAGCTTTCGCCTCTGCAAGGGCTGTAACACCAGGTTGTCTTGAGCTCGCAGGTGAACTCGCTGGTTGTCGGAAGAGAGGTCACAGGAGTCGCTGCCATCAGACCAGCAAAGAGTCGGAAGTGACGATAATGCATAGGGAAAGGTGACCTGTATATACTCCAGATTGTATCGTTCTGTCGGAGCTGCCGGCTGGCACCAGTGTTCATCTTCATTCTGGATAAAAGTTCCGTTGTCCTGGTGGCACAGCAATGCACCAAATATAAAAAGTGGAGTTGCCGTCTTCTGTGTTGAAAGCATAAGAATCATTGCAATGATTGAGGAACTTGTGTAGCGCCGATTCGAAAGCATTGCACTGCCGCCGAGCTGCATATTGATTATACACATAAGCTCATATTACTCAAAGTAGTTCTGTGATCCAAACTTGAAAGATATGTTTCAAAGCCCGGGTTTCACTCAGCCCGCGGCACTTGAATTTCTGAATCTGATGGAGGTGTCGGAATTACCAGTACAGCATGCAGCGGCACATATGCAGCTAAGCATCGATCTGTATCCTCTTCTTGTGCTGGTAATTATCGGACATGCGCGGCGCCCACGAATCAATCATGATGTGTGCAGGCTATATAGCACATCTATGTATGGATCGTCGTTCTCCATGTACGCCATGTCATTTCCGCGCATGCGTGCGCAAGTTATCAGAGGTCATGATGCAAGGGCAGGTTGTGATACGTGGCAATGTAACCCCATCTTTGGTGCCTACATACCGTGGCATTTCCCATGTTGGATCAATGCAACATCCAACAATGCCTTAGACAACACGATCAACCTCAGCCGGTGGCACTAACTTGAAGCTTGCTTGAGGACTCTGTAGCTCTCTCGTTATGGAAGGAGGCGCGCATGTCGACCTTCACTTCAGACCTCAAAAACAAAGAGGGTCTTAATAGGCTGTGCGCGACTGATCAATTCAAAGCCCAATATAAAAGCGACGCACCTTGACAAGACCATTGAGAGCATTTCGACTCCGTGTAATCTGAATCCTATGCACTGTGCCTTCCCAGAGGCAGCGCTCTACAGATCGATGGAGGGATCTCGTTATATACACCTGCTTGACACCCGGGCATCACGAGGCGTCCGCCAGTACCAGTATAGAGGTCGCTCCGACGTGATCCTTGTCACCACTCTAATCTTCCGTTGAAACGTTCCTGGCTACAGATCTACAAGCCTGTCACATGAGAATGTTTCAATGAGAGGCGATATTGTGTGAGAGGCATTGTCTCAAGCAAAGGACACGCTGATATTTGACAACATTGCGGTTGCCGCAGTCCGCATTCGCGCCAAATGGACAGCATGCCCACTTGCAACCGAAAGGCGATGCAGCGGGAAGAGCCATGAGTGCCAAGCAAGCATATTGCAACTAGACTAGACAAAACCGGAGATACAGTAGGTGGCGTCGCACCTGGCTGCATGGCCGTCAGCTTTCCCCCGCATAGGGCGCTCCCGCAGTGGCACTCGAAGGCCTTGATAGGATGGTTTTCGTCTTCGAAGTCTATGCCTGAGACAAGATATGAAGGTGTCAGCAAGAGCTAACCAAATGCAGACACCAAGTACAGCACTTGCGCAGGTGAACCAGAACGAAGCTACCTCCTGAACCAACAGCAAACAACCACTGCAGATCCAAACGTCAGCAGCGAAAGTGGTCAGCATGACTCGACCCTGCCAACGGCGGTCGAGAGATGGAAGACAGAGGGCGCACGTGCGCAGCGCAGAGGTGCCAGCGTCGCTGACCGTAGTCCCACGTCAGCTCGGTCCCGGCCTCCACGAAGCAGTTTGTAAAGAATGCGAGATGGTAGTAGTTGTGTTTCGGCCCCTCGATCTCCACTGGGACGTCGATCAGCGTTGCGTCCTCACACCGATGGTTGAAGAACCTGCAGCCAGGAAACCGGGCCAAAGCAACTTGCTCAGTTGCTTGCATCGGAGAACGCATACGTAGTTGCTTCCTGACTAGGAAGAATGCAAGCACGCCGGCCAGTCTCCTCCAAGCACAGTCTGCCGCTAAATATTAGTTCGTCAAACAGGGGAAAGAACACGAAGTGCAAGAAGCAAGCGTGGTTCGCAAGACGGGTTAACAAGGTGGGTTACGGTGAGTGCCCGACCTGGCGACGTTCCCTAGCTTTGTGGCGTCCAGGCACAGCCCCGTTTTGTTGTCGATGCAGTCCTCAGTGACCGGGCACGCATTCAGCTCGGTTGGGAAGTGCTTCTTCTCGTTTCCCAGTGCCCGGTTTCTCGTGTCCAGTTCGTCCGTCGTTAGTATCTCCCCCACATACTCGCAGACGAAAGTGCCCGCGGGAAGGTCTTGTAGGCACCGCACGGCCCACCCTTTGCCCACCGCCCAAAAGACCTACAATATCCAAAGTCCCGGTCAGTGAAGTAGTGCAATGTGCGTAGATAAACGGGCGGTAGAGGAAGCCTGCTTCGAAGAGAAGCGTGGTGCCGGGAGGAGAAGGGTCGCATCGTCTTGCTATTTGCCAGCTTCTCAACAACCGCAGGGCCGAGAAAAACGCCAAAAGCGTTGCTGCGCAGGCAGACTCATACGAAAGCCCACGTGTCCAGATCACGAAAGCCCACTGAAATTATCCGGCATCTTTTGCAACAAACGTCTAGACCAAGACGGACGGAAAAACGAGCGACAAACCAGCTCCTACTCCCACAGCATGTCTTAAAAAGGTGTTGTCAGAAAACAGAACAACAATTCCTGACCTCCAGCTTGACCGCGATGCCCCGCTGGACCACCCGGTTGCCGCACGAGGTGTGACAGAGGCACTTGATGGAGCACTCCTTGATGAACATGCGGTGGCCCTCACAGGGGGGCACAGTCTGCGTGAGCCGCTCCTCTGGCTTCATCTGCACATACGACCTGAGGCAGTCAACCACCCGCTGACGTGGCACTGGCCGACGAGAATAGCTTGCTCCGTCTCAATTTGCTCAGTCTGCATTACACTGTCAAAGGGACGCTGTTGTTTGTCAACAATTTCCGACTTGCTGGGTTGCTGGGAAAACCAGCCTCTTGATCTCTTGAAGCTTTCTCTACTGAATGGACGCCCGTGAACCTTGTTGTGCTTTTAGAATTAACTCTCCATGGTCAGACTCCGGGAATACAAAAATCACTAACGTCCCTAACCGCATGCCTTCGAGCAGTACGATGATTGGCAGAAGCGCCAAATGCGTAGCACAGGAATGCCAGAATATGAAAAATAACATGCCTCCCGACTCTGCCGTTAAGTAAGGGGAGCACCGTTCTGCACGGACCGCCTGCCAGTGACGTCTTTATTAAAAAGCTGGTCGTGTATGGAAAGCGTGGGCGTACCTTAGCCTTCTGGGTGAGGCAGACGCCGGGACAGAACATCATGTCCATCTGTAACGAGAATCAGGATTAGGGTAAGCCTGCAGAGCGGCAGCGATTGCAGCCACCGAAGGACGATTGGTGGGTCCACCGGAGGACTTCAAAGAGAGCCAATCATTAGGAGAGGGGCAGGACGGGGCAGAGATCATCCTTCAGATGTTTAGCTGCTTGCCCGATTACCTATTACAGGTTGAAAGCAGGCATGGAACACGTCGACAGCGAAATCTCAATTTTCAACAACCGGAATTACCGTTGAATTGGAAGGACCAAATGGGTGCCAGGATTAAAACGTCCGTGCTTCGCCACACCAGCCCACCTGTTTCTGGAGGAAGGCGCCGTCGAGGCAGCCGTTCTTGTTATAAGCGTAGCATCCGCGCGTGTCGACCGTGCAGCCGCAGGGGACTTCGGCATCCAGGCAGTTTCCCTCGCAGTCGCACTGCGCGTTGTCAGGTAGCAGGGCCAAGCAGCTCGGAGCATGCGGCTGGGCGTCCTGAGAGAGAGCGAGACGGGGTTTTTGATACGGAGCCAAACGTGAAGCAGCCGAGCTAACAACTGTTTGAGCAAAAGCGGAAGGAAAAAGGACTTGGCTAAGAAGACAGAGCCTTGATTGTAGCAGGCAACCGCGTATTCGGGACGACATCCGGCAGCTTGCGTCTTCCAGAAAGCAGGTTCGGAACGTTTTTGTGCATTTGAATACCTGTTAAAATCAAAATGAAAGGCTTAGTAAAAGAAGAGTGCTCTGCTCTCTTTTCAAAGAAACACACCAAGGGTGCCCTCTGCGCAGGTTGTCAACACAAGATCTCGGTGCGCGGACTCGGAAGAGAGCTTCCAGCGCGCACGTTAAAGCAAACCTCCCCCATTGAGAAACTCCAGAGAGCTCAGTTGAAGGCGCAGGGACAGCTCGCTATTGGACGGCTGCGGCAACGACTAAATACCCCAACCCTCGCTGCGCTCACCTCGTAGACCCTTGACTCCCGCATGTAGCGAAACCCTTTGGGAAGCCCTTCGTCGTTTACCCCGTTCACACAGCGGATCTTGTGCCTTTCCAGCCCCCGGGAAACGTCCTCCGACACGACCCGTTCTGCTCCAGCCCCAGTGCCCTCCCCCTCCACAAGAGCAGTCGCCCCAACCCCCCCCTGCCACTTTTTCAGGCCGTTGTCACCAGTTGCATGCACACCCGTTCCACGCTCGACGCCTTCATCCTTGATTGCAATGCACCTCACATCTGCTAAAGGCGCCGCCCGTCTCTCTTCCACCCTGCCTGCTTTATGCGGCCCCTTCTTCTCGTCGCGCTTTTTTTTGTCCGACGCCTTGACTATCGCGTTCAGGCTCTTGTGCTTGCTGGTGCGCGGCTTCGACTCCATCCCCGGACCCCAGATCTCCTTGTTGGCTTTCGCTGGTTCTTCAATCCCGACTCCCACCGCGCCTTTCTCGTCTCCTCCATAGCCCTTATCCCCCGCTTCCCGACCGCTCTGCTTTTCAACGAAGCGCTTTTCTGCCGGCTTGATCTCTCTTTCCACCATAACCGTCGTACGTACTGCCGGCGTTGTCTCCCCTACTTTCCGGATCCGCTTCAGCTTCCTCCTTCCTCCCTCCTCCTCCATGCCGAACCCGCTTCCTTCACCCGCGTCCGCTCCTCTGGCCTCCTGTGCCGGGGCAAGGGCGTGGTTCTCCCGACTCAAAAGCGCATTGCTTTCAACAGAACCCGCTCTCACCCCCAAAGGCTGCTCCTCTGATTTTCTCTGTAACATAACTTCCCCGTTAGCTACTTTACGACTGAGCTCTCCTCCCCTGTGAGCGGCGGATTCTAAACCGTCCGCCTTCCTATTTTCTAACGACAAGCCCTCCCTTCTCAGTGCAACCGAGTCGTCGGCTTCATTCCTACCTCCAAGAAAGGGCTCCCCCAAGGTGGCGCCTCCTCTTTCGACACCCGCTTGCTGCCCCCCGTTGTAACCGGGTCTTTCCAACCCTCCAGGTTGGCTCGACCCTACTTCGTGCAGTTTTTTCAGCGCCTGCTCTAGCGCTCCGCCTCGGGACCCCTCCGGGCCTCTTGTTGGGCTCCGCAGCCCCGCAGAGTTACCACATACATCGCGCTCCACTTCCATCCGTTTTGAGCCCCCTGCTGACACTGCCTGCGGGCCGGCGCCCGCTTTATCAAAAGCCTTCTCTGCCCCGCTACCTTCTCTTCTTTCTGGCACGTCCGCAGACGCAGCCCCATCCACGCTCTGCTGACCCGGCCGCAATGCGCCCGCTTTCGCGGGCAGCTCCGCTTGGTGCTCGAGCGCGCGCCTCCGCTTCCGCTGCGATTCCTCCGTGGCTTCCTGGCTCTTCTTCACTAGCGACGCGTGCTGCGGGAGGCTGCTCGTCGACTCCAGCAACTGGGCGCCCCGCCGGTGTTTCTCCCATCTTCCCGAGGTGGCCCCGACCGAGTTCGGTGTGCTGTCTAGCAGGGGGCCATTTGACGACTGGGGATCTGGAGGGTGAGAGGGGAGGGCTGGTTCGCCCCGCAAGGACGGAGAGACTATGTCGGACAGGTGGGGGGACCGGAGGCCGTGAGGGGACACTATGCGCGCCGCCTGTCGGGTGACGTCATCAATCACAGCCTGCTGGTCAGGAGTCGCACTTGGTACCGGTTCTGGCAGACCGCCCTTTCTGTGCAGCCCGTTTGTGTGACCCCGGGGCGAGAGGGGTCTAGCAGCTCGTTTGAGCGGTTCCGCGGAAGAGTGACTGGAAGAGCGTTCAGGATGATTGCCGGTTTCGGAATGGGTGGGGCGCCTGGGGCTGGTTGTACCCCTGGAAGGAACGGATCCACCGCTGGGCTGAGGCGGCCAGTCGAATGGCAGTTCTGCATGGGACATAATTGAGGTTCAAGGCACCTCCAATACACAACATAAGTACGACCGATGTAGAGCCTCAGCACAGCGAAAGCACGACTATACAAAAGGGCCCAGGAAATCAATAATTCCTGCTTCATGCTGCTTCACAGGGCCTGGAATTAAAGTTGAACTTTCCTCAAGTTTCGAGCATCGAGTGCATGGCTCCTTTGCTGCCACTCAATGTGCTTAAGAGAGGCTACCAACAGGCAAACCGGCAGGAATCACTTACCAAACGAAACTTGTGCGGGAGGGCTGGGTCGAGTTGGGTCCTGATCAATGTACTTGATGACCTCAGCCCAAAGGCCGTCTGGGTCCTGATCACTGCCCTTGATGAGATCCCACACCCCAGGCAGGCCTCCATAGTTCTGGAACAACAGATCGACAAGTTGCAACAACGTCAGCCTTTGCCAAGTTGGTTGCCAGTCCAAACAGATTGGGGCTGCACCGAACAATTGTAATGAGCCTTAGGTGGTTGATTGGCTAGTGCGTGTGTAGATGCTGGTTGAGGCCCACGCAAACTTGAGACCCTTGCAGTGATTGCCAGGATCCTTCCGGGGAAGAAAGCACTTTTTGTTGGCTTCATCAAGATCAGACCAGAATCTTGCCCTCCTACGCTCAAGGAAACGAAGAACGTCCGGTTCTACAGTCCATTCACCTGATATATCTCTGCGAGTACACGGCGCAAATACTCCAATGGGACTGCCATAAGGTCGCACAGCACCTCCGCCTCTGCCAGCTGCGCCTCGCTGGGACCACTCTTGGCCCCATCCGTATCCATGAGCTTGGCCTTCTTTGATTGCTTGCCCTCCAAAAGCTCCCTTACTTTCTTGTAGTTCTGGGCCTTGATTGTCGTCCATGCCTCCTCCCGGCCATATTGCTGTGGACCAAAATAGTGCTGAGTTAGATATGCTGGCAATCAAGTCCCTGCCAATTTGAATGTGGAAATTATCCTCGCGGTCTCCGTTCAGGATGCAGCTACTATGTGCATAATAACCTTTCAGCTGAAAGAAAATGTCTCTTACCATGACTGCACGTATCCTGCGATCTAGACGCGTTCTTAGTCTGAGGTTAGGGCAAATCGCCTGCAACATTAGGCAGATGATAAGGAGAGACGTTCAACCACTGGCAGATTGCAGGGCTTTGAGTTTTGATTTGGATACCTAGTGAAAGTAACAAAACCTCGAACAGAAACAGCTCCACAGGTCTTCTTCGCACTGAAAAACAACTAATCATGTAACAAGAGACAGAGTATCCAACGTGTGCCAGTCATCAAAGGGTGTCAGCGAGCTTCCTTTCTACTCACAGAGTACAAAGTATCCAGGCAGTCCAGGATGGCTGCCTGGGAGACCCCGGGCTCTCGAAGGGCGCCCACCGCTTCTCTGCATTCAGGCCTCTCCTCAAACTTTGGTGCCGTCGCCCGTGTCATATGGTGGGAATCTGAGCGGTCGATTCGCAAGCCTGCGTACAGATTGAACAAAAGCTTGAAGAGGATGTTTTCAAATCTACAAATGGAAAGGTCTGCCAGACTTGGATGTCATTCACAGAGAGATTTTTTGTCTTAGTACCCTCAGCTTGAAGCCCTTACTTGTCCTGCGGAGAGCGATTGCTAGCCGAAAGGTTGCTCCCTGCTGCTGCTGTTGTGGGAGCACGTTCATTGGAGATGGAGTTCGCACACATATTGCAGATTGATTTAGCCCCTGATTTGAAAGCGACCCACCCAAAGCTTCTAGTGGTATGGAAGCAGGCTGAGGCCCAGGGTGACCACTTTCTTCTTAGGTTGGAAAGCAACTTTGCATTTGAATTTTCTTAACTGCCATTGGTTGCACCACCTGAGTGCACCACCATTTTCTAGACAGTGTGTCACATCATCACTACTTAGTATGCTGCCCGCTGTTGCATGTGCATCAAATACTCCATGCTCATTTGCAAGCTAGTCATGTCACTTTCAGCCAACTTCAAGGTGAAGTGACCCCAAAGTGCACCAAACAGCTTTTTGAAGTTTCTGAAGTTGCTGGCATCCCCTTGCGCTGAAATGTGGTGTGACATTGATAGCACACATGCTTGACAAGAAGCTACCAAGATCCTTCCCACACTCTTTTCATGGAATTGGTCTACAAGGCCAAAGTGGGAGGCACATTCACCTTGAACCGTCGAGTCTTCACCAGGTCAACATTCATCCACATCAAGACTGCCACTGCCAGACCTCAAATACAGGACAGGCAGACCTTTTGGCCCTCTGGTGCAGCGTGAGGGGGATTGCCAGCATTGATGTTGACTTCTCTCGCCAGCATTGATGGACTCGAGTACCATAGTTTTCAGCTCATCCGCCGCCTTGTTTCATGCCATCTCCTGTAGGTAGACGTGCCGAGCATCATGGGCAGCCTGCAGGGCGAAGAGTGCATGCAGCATACACGAGTACCTACAACCGGGTGGCCATTCCACTCCCGAGATTCCCGAGTTCCACCTCCTCTGCAGTGTGCACCAGCCTTTTGCAGTTTGCACCGACAGCCTCGGGAGGACTATACCTAATTATTACTATCCCGCAGAGTTTCGATCCCACAGCCGGACCTCCAGGGAGGGCGGGTGTGGAGAATAGCGTACAGAACTTGATCTCAGGTTCCGGATCTCAGCCTCAGTCAGGACATTCCGGATCTGAGGAAACAACCGCCGGGGGTTCAGCTCTCCCCTGTTGTGTAACCCCTCTTACAATGTCTGCGAATTTCACTCGGCCGCCCGGTGAAAGTCGGAATACGATCGGAACCGTTCGATGCAAGTTCAAAGCAAACCTAAGGGCTTAGATTCTTTTTCCGGGACCGGCGGAGTCGTACGGTACATCTACAGGTGTTGCCGGTCCCGAGATCGGGAAAGGTTCCTGAGATCAGGAATTTTGGACGCTATTCTCCACACCCGCCCTCCCAGGTGGCCGGCCAGACAGGACCCCGGCCGGTGCCGAAGGCACCCCGCCGGCTGGTTGGCCGGCAAAGAAGGCAGGCATTTGGCCGCTGGCGCGCTCAGCCGGCCGGTAAAGCCAACTACCGACTACCGAGCAGACAGAGCCGGGGGGGTGCCGAGAGCTGGCTGGCCGGGACAAATTAAAACCCATGAGAAAGGAAGTCCTGACTCCTGAGTCCTTGCCCGGCGCCCTGCGCCCGGTTAAAATATCCATGTGGCTGAATTCAACCCACGTGCGAGGGGAAGTAATATCATTGGTTGAAAATTCGAAAACATATCCGAGATCGGACCGGCCCATTTCCTCTTTGTTCAGGGCCCAGGCTGTAGCCTGCCACTCAGTCTCAGAATTATAGTATTGATTCCCGACTCCCTGCCCCATTGTGATGCCATGAACTCACGGCTACCTACCTTCGTCTTCGACATGTGTCTTCAACTTGATTTCTCCTGGATGCACAGCAATTTTGACCAACGGCAAATGTGACGACGAACCTTAAACGCAAATCGTGAAGCGTTGGCAAGCCCTTCTTGGTTCGAGTTCAAAAACACGTTCTGGATGCATAATACGACATGAAGTGTCCTTAGTAGGCTCGCCCTTGACTGCAAAGTGACATGCAGAATATCCTGCTCGGATCGAAGGATAGGGCCTTCTTGGCAACCCTTGAAAGTGATCGACCCCATGTCAAGTGTGAATTCACTGGCTGTTAGCTTACAAATATTGAAAGTAACCGACATAGTAAACGTCTCGAGTGCTGTCCATGGTCTCGTTGTGACCAGGATTGTTCATGGTGGTGGTCGGCATAGAAAGGTACACACTGAGCTCATGCAGAAGCAATTTGACCGTTGGCCTACTGTTAGGCTCGTCCTCATGAGCTAACTTGACGCATTGTATGAGGTGCCTTGTCGGATGCCTGGTCAATGATGACCATCAGGGGGTCCGCCGGGCCCAATGACCTTAAGCTGCAAACAGTCAAAAGAATGTTGCTTGACATAAGAAACGCTTGAAAGGAACCTGGAACAAGATACTGCATATAAAGGAGCATTGCAATCAAGTGAAAGAGACCTACTGCATCAAAGCATCCAAGAGCTCTTCCTTGCACACACGCTGCTTACCTGGAAGACTTGCGTGCAAACAGGACACTCGAAGGTCTCGTCTTTCTTCAAATGGAACCACAGGACATCATGTTCATCATCTGCACATAAAGGTGGACAGTCTGTTACTTCTTCCTTCATAGCTTTGAATGCAAGCGTGAAAGAACTGAGCGAAAGCGAGGTACAGCTCAACTTAACCAAGAAATAGCTTTAACAAGTTGAAGGTGAGAATCAAAGGACCAGTTGAAGATCACAATCCTGTCAAGCTCATTCTCCTGACACTTTAGCCTTGAATACTGGTCAGATTGCACGTGCGAGATGACAACAACTTAAGACGTGAGTAAGTGATTCCACAAAGTCAATTTGTCGCTGAACCGATTGCACTTAGCATCTGCTTAATTTCACGCATCCTCACAGTTTGGCCTGAAGCGATGCATCTTGTACGCCTGCAGTTTTTTAACATCTCTGGCCATTGATCCAAAGAGGCAGAATTGGCGAGCTTACCCCCCACTCCACCAGGGCAACCGACAATCCGTTCATCAAAGTGTGACTCCACAATTGCAGGGGCTTCCTGTCCACCAAAGAAGGATCATCAGCTAACACAGTCTTGCGGCATTGGACTCAGATCTTCAAATATTTCAGACTGCAGAGCTTCAGCCATTTCTGCACGAAGCCCGCTTCAATAAATGTGCAAGACTGATTCTCTGCTGCAAGCCAAGCAAGGGCTGCAGCCAAGCAAGGGCAACTGGAAATACACAAAGTCATCGAGAGACTCTTGACCTTCTCGAAGCCATTGGGTGCAACAAAAACAAAGCTTGTCCCCTGACTGAAGTGCCTGCGTTAGCATCTCAATCCCTGATAAACCTTGCTTTGCAAGTAACTCACATTCAATGAATTGTTTTGTTCACTTTCAGCAGCCACAAGCAAAGATCGCCTTCGTATAGGAACTATACGGCTGATCATAATGATGCTAAACAGGTCAAGAAGCAAGATGTGCAAGTTTCAAGAAGGCCATACCTTGGTACCAAAGGGTCCGGTTGGTGGAGCAGTCTCGAACCTTGACTTGCCCTGCAGATATAATTCCACTTATATCAACTTGCCATATTGCGGTCAATGCAATCAAAGGCAATCAGTTCGTTGGCTGCACTGGGTCAACAGGTTAATATTAAAATATCTTGGCCAAAGGGCACCAAGGAACAAATATAAATTTAGGATGCCCAAGATACATCAACTCATCAGAGATAGTTCCTTGGTGTTTGTCTCACCTTGCCCAATCGATTCTCACGGTCAGATCCTTATTGATGATAGATTGCACTTTTCAAGCCCATTTTTCAAGCACACGACCAAGACTTCAAACATGAAAGCTGATTGCTTGAGAGAAGGTGTTGGCAATTCATACCTCCATCTCGGCTTCCAGCTCTTCTCTTTCCAGTCCAGTTGCGTTGCCCAGAGATTCGACTATCTTATCTGCATAGCAAGGACATAATCGTCCTTTTTGTATAATCAATCCTCCCTTTCCATTTTACAAAGGTTCGGTGTTTTGCAATCAGAAGCGTTGGCCAAAAAAGATGGAAGGAAATTGCTGGCTCAATGAAGGCATTCCAGTCTTACAAAGGCAGATAGAGAAGACAGCGAAATCACTCTGTACGTCGTGATGTGAACAATTACTATAAGTCAAAACATATTGCTCCTTTGCAAATGCAAGAGAGGTGCATATACACTGGTGACCATCTGGCCAGGCCGCGGGTTATTTGATGGTGCCAGAATGTCAGCTGTAGACAAGCAGCAGTCTCGCCTTTTAAGTCTCATCTACGATCATAATGTAGGCTAGGGAAGAGTGCGACCATTACCAAGGGACCATTTTGATCTCAAACCAGCAAGAAGAGCTACGATCTGTGTACTAAGAAGACTTGCGATCCGATATCACTTGGACCTCAGGGGTTGTCCAACCGAACACTTGATCGAACCGCAAACCAGCATGCGCAGCTTGTGGAGGATTATAATGAGCTTACCATCAGCGAGCAAGGGTCCATGCCAAGCAGTAAAGCCCCTGGATGCGAATCCATACTCCGCCACTGCACATTTCAGACCAGATTCTAGCACAACACTATTTGTTGCAATCCTATGCTGCACCAGATTGGCCCCATTCGAAGCAACTACCGACACATTCTGCCGCAAAGCATTTTGAACGGCCCCGTTCTGCAAGATATTCCGGAGCATCGACCTGGCGGACATTGTGCATGCACGTCCCAAATCCACGGGAGGCTACGCCAATATGATCCCACCACCGCCCACCTAATTCAAGGCTAGAGCGGCGGGTTAATTGATCAACCTCCTGTGGCCCTCCTATCCGTCCGCACCCAACGTACAAAAAACTGAGCAACGGCGTTCCGACTTCAGGGCGCCCCAGCAGTGAGCACTATTTTCCTACTGAAAAGCTTCTCTTCTCGTGGCACAAACCAGACTCCATGAAGTAGCATTCACGAAATTAGATGCTGGGGCTCCAATCATCTCTGAGTCCTTTTGCACCGTCGGATCCGTCAGAGATCCAATGTAGATGGTTGTAAGTTGCTTCTACATGTCCCGATCACCAGACATACGTACCGCCTAAATCCATTTGGTCAGATCTGCGGTCCGGGGAGAATGCTCAGAATGTAGGTACACCGTAGACCTGAGCGTTCGAGCCAATGGCAAAAGCTGGCGAGGGCCTGGGAAAGAAAGTTTCCTCATTGGCTTTGCCATTGGGTTACGCGCCAGTGCTCAGGAAAGATTGCTGGTAAGTAGTACCCTTCAGACCTCAGCAGCATCACATCGGAGTTCTCGTTGGTTGCTCACTCACGTAGATCCTGACGATCCCAGGAAGGGTGATGGGTTCGCGCCTCGTGCCACAACCCAAGTCCTCCGGGGAGGTGGCCGCAAGCTCGGAGAATGCTGACGAGCCCCGGGAGGTCCCTGCAACAGGAGTGTGCAGTCGTACAGAGGAAGCGGGAGAGGCTGCAGTGTCTAGTGGGGATGCAAATGGCACAAGATGCGCGGGGAGTCGACATGGAGAGTCTGTTTCGCATAGTTCAGAGTATGAAGATGCGGTGTCTGACAGTGGCACGGAGGACCAGCATGCAGGGGACGCAACAGAGGGAGAACTAGAGGAGCTCGCGGCTAGCTCCGAGGGTGGCACTTCGGACACCGAGTACAACCCCGAGGACGACATGGACGTCCAAGGTGGGGCCTCTGCCATGCATTGAAACCCTCAGTTCAGTGCCATGTTTGTGCTCTGAAAATGTTTTGATGCTGATCGCCAGCAACTGTGGATACCATGGCAGGGTTGCAGCGTAGAATGGATAATGCCGAACCTTGTGTACTTTCCTGCATGCCTCAGCGGGCACATTTCTTCAATGCAGTGGCGGCAGACCTCATTCTGGACCACCTGGTGGGCTATGAGGAGGACGACGATGATGATAGTTTTGAGCCGGACGACGAAGAGGGCGAGGAAATTGAGGAGGGCGAAGAGGAGGACGAAGACGAGTATGACGATGACGAGGTGCTGGAGGATGGCCGTAATGACCACTTGGAAGATCTGAGTCCTGAGACAGCGCCGCTGGACCATGTCCTGGCGGACGAGACGCGCATGAAGACGGCGCCCTCCCCCTTTGCTGCATGGCTCTGGAACATCGCAAGGGACCAGCAGGGGGGCACTAAAAAGGTGAACGCTCGTTTAGGGTTGGTGCGGGGGTTGCACATGTTTCGTCGTGTGAACGGGCTAGGTATTCTTCGGGTTCCTGGGTGGTGGCCGGGCAATGTGTCCAGCTTCAGAAAGTCTGACAATCAAGGGAAGTGGAGCAATGACATGCAGAAACAGAGGCATTGTGGTACCTAAGCGTTATTCTTCGTCTCATAAATGGCTGGCCGGTTTCTATGAGCGATTATTTTGCGGTCTTTGAAGTGCTTAAAGACCTCAAAAGAAGTTGCATTGTCTTGGGGTTCCTGAGTGTGGCGCTTTGGAGTATGCTTAGATGGTGTTTGTTGGCAGGCTTCTTAGCCCCAAGAAAGGCCAGTTCAGAGCAATCTGTGGACTCAACCTGTCTGACTAAGAGTTCCAAGACCCGCTCGTTTGTGCAGCAGTGGGAACATGATTTAAGGAAGTGACACTTAGCCCCTTCCCGCTCTGACTCTTTCAAGATGGTGTTCGGGGCACATTTTGACCCTGCGGAAGTTTTGCACGGGTATCAAAAAATGGTTGGAAGCTCCCCACCCAACGGTCGTAATGTATGGGGTTTCAAGCATTCGCGGTGCCTGAACGGTGTCTCAAGGCTGAGCGTACCCTCCCTCTTGTGGCAGCTCAACACTTGGCACATGCTGACTGGCCGGCAGCAGAATCTGACGGGGCGGGGGGCGTTCTCGGCAGCCGAGAGGTGCCAGGTGGCGCACCGCTATTTGCCAAACGGTGGCCCCGACAAGGTCGACTTCATGCGCAGCAGGGCCTACATTGGGCAATTCTCGCAGGACGGGTCAATGTTTGTGGCAGGGTTCCAGGTGAGTGATGCCGACCTAGTCTTGGTTGCTTACAAGAGTTTTGGTGGTCTTTCAGATTCCACCGCTGTAGGCTTTGATCTGCTATCTATGATTGTCTTGTGTTGGGTGGCCACAAACAGGTCTAAACGAGACAAAAGCCCGCAAGTTATACCTCCAGGGTTTGAAAGGAGCAGTGGCTTCAATGTGGTAATTTGAAAGAATCAGTGCTATCACCTGGCTTGCGCGTCGATGTATCCCACCAGAAGCGAAGCAGGCTCTTCAGCTGATCTTGGCAACTTGGGATCGCCACATCTAACATGGGGGCCATATTGTGGTGCGCAGGACCGGAGGATACGCGTGTACCAGGTGGACCGGGGCTGGGCGCTGCGCAAGGACATCAACTGCAAGGACCTGCGCTGGACTGTTACCGACACTGCCCTCTCACCCGACCAGAAGTTCCTGGTCAGCTATTCCCTCTGCACTTGACAGTCAACCTACAGTTGGACGGGCATAATATAGCACAATATTACGGACGCTTGGTATTCTTAGTTAACTAGGTTTGGTTTCACTATCTTTTTATTTCTCTTTACCAATGATATGTGGAGAGGCCCACTTGTTTGACTCAGTTGACAAGCACCTGTGTGCTCTGATGGGCTTTGCGCAGGACTGCTCGGCTGGGTCCTCGCCGTAGCGCCTGAATTTGCGACCGACTCAAGCCCCTTTTTGCCCCTTATCGGGCCGTGTTCAGGTATACTCGTCGATCACGCCCACCGTGCACTTGGTGGGCATTGGCCCTGGGGACAACGGGGTGGAGTCAATTGCAAACGTGAATGTAAGGACGCCTTTCCCTGGTTTCAAGTGCCAGTCTCGGCTGTGAAGGTGATTGGCACGACCTGTCTTCATGTACCTAGGTTTGCTCTTTCGACCAGCATTTCTTCCAGCCGGGCCATCTGTAGCAAGGCTCGCTATGCTGGTCACGACTGGCTAGCTTGACGTATGAGCTCCTCACCGAGGGACGTCTCTCGCGCTCAATTCCGTTCTTGCTACGGGTTTTGCCTCAAGATGTCCCGCCAAAGCTGGTTCCAGGCTGTTCCTCAGCATAATTTCCGCTTCTTACATTCGAGAAGTCACCGAGCTCCTTTGTTGCTTGCAGGAGATACATGAGCCCCTCAACTTTGCTGGCACAGGGGCAAGCCGCGTATTTGGGTTGTGGTCGCTCCAGTTCTCGACCGATGGGCGAGAGATCGTTGCGGGGAGCAGCGATTCCTCCTTGTACCTCTATGATGTGGAGGCAAATAGGCCGACCCTCAAGTGCAAGGCGCATGAGGTAGGGCTTGAAGCATGCGAAATCGCTGAGCTACATGCGGATGTTGTGTAGTAATGCGGGGACCAACGAATCCTTATTAGAAATTACCACTGCGGTTAGGTTGGTTGTGTCGGCAGCTCGTATAACGTCGATAAAGGATTACCATCTTATGGTCCTTCCGACAACGATCGGTCGTTCATTCTTGAAGCTGGTTTGAGAAGTTTGGACTCCCAGGACAGAGGAGCACTTTTACTCAAATGACGGCTTCTACGGTGAAAATGACGATGTGCTTATCCTGCTCTTTTGGCAGGACGATGTAAACGCTGTGGCGTTTGCGGACGAAACTTCGAACGTGATCCTCTCCGGGAGTGACGACAAGCTCTGCAAGGTGCGCCTCCCCTCAACTGGATGTCAGCCTTTGTCTAGTGCACTTTGGAAAGTAACGTCTTGTTGCCAAGCAACCTCGCCACCACAAACCAAAACCGTAGACGGTCGCAAGTTACGTGACGAGCGACGGAAGAGGTTGTACTTGTCATCTGCCATTACAAAATGGGACTTGTCGAGCTTGACGTCATACATATCTACATGTCTTTCTTGGGTCCATGGAAGCGAAATTCGCGCAGTTCGACTTTGATTTGGTCATCCGATAAGTACTGGACGTTCTAACGACGCAGTCCCTGCTCTGCTGATCCGCTCTTCCTAGCATACTCCTTGCTTAGGTTCGACTTTGTGGTGGCTTCTCAGGGTTGTCAAAGGCGCTTAAATATCGCTTCGCTCCCACAATGACATCGTGACACTAGGTAGTCTGATCAAATCAGCGCGGTCATCTCATCAAATGCTTCACCAGTCATATTTGCATTCTTAATACACACCATCGAGGATATACCAATCTCGGACGTCTCCAAGATGCTTGTGGTAATGCACGCCAGGTGTGGGACCGGCGGGTGCTGAAGCGCGACGGCAAGAAGGGCTCCCCGGTGGGCGTTCTAGTGGGCCACGTGGAGGGGCTGACGCACATCGACAGCCGCGGCGACGGGCGGTACCTCATCACCAACGCCAAGGACCAGTGCATCAAGCTGTGGGACATGCGCAAAATGGTGGACGCCAAGACGCACGCCGAGTGAGCGCGACACGCCTAATATTCGACTGCTCGAACTGCCCATGTGCAACTCTTATAAACCAGGGAAAGTCTGTTGCCAAGTCGGCGGAACTTCAAGTCCCTTCACTTTCTCTGGTTCCAGGAGGCATCAAGAAGTCTTTAAACCCAATTCTTGGATTGACTTCTCAGAGATCAGGTATCAGTCGGAAAGGGTAATGTGCTGGGATTGGCACTTGAAGAAAGGGTCTCCTGATACAACTGGCTGATCGGGGTGCAGCTTTTGCCGTCCTGATTGCTTCGAAGTAGACGGTGGCTGTAATCATGACGTCAGCGTGGAGTATCTAAATCCGCTTGCAGGAAGGCTGGCTGTTCGTCGTTTGAGGCCAGGACCATGCACTGCGATGCAAGAGCACAGACGATCCTCAAATCGCCTTTGATTATGAGCAAGAGTGAAGTCGTATCCCATCTTCAAGCCATAACGTCTCTGCAGACACCCCGGCTCGCTGAGACATTATGCGCAAGGTCTCGAAAGCCGTTTAATCTTGCAAGGGGGCTCCCACGCTGCATTCCAAACTTCTGTGCTGACCCCCCCTCCCTTGCCCGGGTGCAGCACCCCCCCGGCGCAGTACCGGCAGTTCCGGTGGGACTACCGGTGGATGGACTACCCGGGGAGCGGCAAGAACATCCGGCACCCCCACGACACGTCACTCATGACTTACCGCGGCCACAAGGTGCTGCAGACGCTGATCCGGGCCTACTTCTCGCCCGCGCACACGTGAGCAGCCCCGTCTCTTGTCTTGTAGATTTTCTTCCTGGTTGTGCCCCTTGTCTTTTGGTCTTGCCTATGTCCTCTCATTGAATGGGTTCGTACTTGCATCGTTGACTTCTTATTGTTCAGCTTTTCGAAACCTACAGGCTTTGACATGGTCTGGACAGTTGGGCTCAGTTAGCGCAGGGGTCACACTGTGCATTGCGCTTGTGTGCAGGACGGGGCAGCGGTACATCTACACGGGATCTTACGATGGCAGCATCTTCATCTATGACGTCGTAAGTGCAGCTTCGAGAATCAGCACATTCCGTTTGGATCATTGCCTTATTGATCCTGAGGGCCTGAGGACTCTATATTCCGCTTGCTAGCATAAAGACGTCACATATGCACACTTGTCTTTTCCCTTCTTTCTGCCTCTTTCTGCCGCTTTTGGGCAACAATCTTGCCGAAACGGGTTTGATATGGCGAGCAAGCTTTCTTTTCTCTCGAGCATTCGGCCGGCACTCAGAACTGAATTGTGAAGGGCTACTCTGGTCCGAGATGATTTTTTAACTCCAGCTATTTGTTGTCACAACCTTCTGGAAAGACTTTTAGCCCAGAACAGATTCTTTACTTCTCAATACTCATGTCAAGGCAGCCCTAGCAGCGTCTGGCTGTTTTGCCATGCACATTGACTGCACTCTACAAGTGGGTGGTGAATCGATTGAGTGCCAGCGGTCAGATTAGCCCCTGTACCGTTTGGCACCCCCGTTTACTCGCGGCGGATCGTTGAAGGTTACGGTGTTCGAAATAAGATCTGGGCAGCTCAGTCGCGTTTGGACACGGTTTCGCAAAGGGTTCCGGCAAAAGGAAAGAGCCACATCTTGAGCGCCCATCTATGGACTTGAACGATAGACACCATTCAGCGCCATCCCCCAAGCCTTTCAAACTCCTGCGCGCCGCCTGACCCCTCTTCCACTGCGGTGCAGCTCACGGGGCAGGTGGTGTCGAAGATGCAGTACCACGTGGCAGCCGTACGAGACTGCAGCTGGCACCCTACGCTGCCAATGATGACCAGGTACGGCCGAGCAGCTGTTACTTGCGCACTTTTTGAATTGGAAATCTGCAGATGCGATTCCTCCTTCATGCAGAGATGGAGTAGCGGACGTTCTCTTCTCTTTTCAGGGGTTTTGAGTCTTTCACCAGACGAGATTTGAAGAGACTCCTACGGCAACGCCCTTAGTCACGGACCAAGTTTTCGATTGCTCTTAAACATGTCTGGGTAATAAGACCGCTATACAATAATCTAGCTGTTGGCTCAAACGTGGATTGCAATCCAAGCCAGCAAAAATAAGCGCAGAGATCACTCCTTCTCAGACCCTCTGCTTTTCGTCCCCCGCAGTTCGAGCTGGGACGGGTACATTGCGCGTTGGGAGCCCCAGACGGGGCCAGTCGGTCGGCGGGTGTCGAGTATTCACGACCATGGCTACGACATCGACACGCTTATCGAGGAAGGCGACGACTTCAACTAGTTGCACACTGCTGGGCCCAGGTATGAGACGCTATGCACACATATAGAAGGTACGTACGTCGCGAGGATAAAGGCGCTTCCAAGTGCAGAGCTGTGGGGTGTCAATGGAGTCCTGTACATATTTGATCAAGAACGTACAGTCGCGTATGCATTGAGATAGAAGCATGTAACATGAGCACCACTTCGAACAAGGCTCGTTAATTTCGATCGAATGAGCGAACAAGGTGGTAAGGTCCGGTCACTCCATATTATCCAACTAAGCAAGGTCAACGATGGTTGTTGCTTGTCGTCAAGCATCTCCTGTCGAGCGGCACAACTACACACATTTCTGTATGACCTGGCCATCTCAACAATCGTGAACACCGGAAATCATAGGGGACAACATTTGGCTGCGGCTTCAGACGTGGCGGATGCTTTTCCAGGTTGTCTCGTTGCGAGACTGTTCTAGCTGCCGCCCCATCGGCACTCTGTAAGTGACGGTTGCTTCAACACGTAGATATCATAGTATTTGCGTTAGCACGTTATACCGAACTCTCCAAAGCTCTAGCGCAGGCTGCCCGCTGCTTCCATCCACATATGTGCCCATCATTGGCATCTGTGTGATCGAGGTGTTGTGGCACGCGATATATATCATCATGCTAGCTAGCTTGACTTTGCATGATTGGACTAGTCGCATGCGACCTGCGACCATTGGCTATATAATTGCTATAATTACGCGAACCATATCATTGTAATATGGTATACTGGCGATATTGTGCGTGAGACCTATTGGACGGTAGGGTCGTGAACCATAGATAAATTGTCCAGACGCATAAACAGGCCGGCTGAAGCTAGCCTGTGACTGCATATGCACTGCGCAATCGACGGTGTAATGCGTTCCAATGATGACGAAGTTAATTGTTACACAGGAGCCGCACTTACCCTGATGACTGCCGCCGCATGCTCGAACGGACTGCAGATCATGCAGGCTAACGATGAGCCGGGCGCCGATCGACAAGTCCGACCGGCACGCACCGTACTTATCAGGCCGCCAACTTTGATTTCTATGTTCGTATAATAGTGCAGCGGAAGCTCCGTATAAGATGCGACTTTTTGCTTGTAACTCCAAATAATTCTACAGCCCCTGAAAAGCGAAAGTGCGGCTCGCTGATTCTGCGTTGGGACACCTCCAAGTCTCGATATTCGAAACGCTCGCCAAGTTCGCTTTGCCATGGTTAAAATATGGATTGGTAACTAGCGTTGTCCCAGGCTAAGACATAGCGTCAGCTACAGACCTTTGACAGTCAATCTCGTTTCAGCTTGTTGTAGCTACCCTTGTTACATTCGGCGCGAGAATCTCTCGCTCACATCCCCGGTGATCAGAGGTTGGAGCAACAAGCACTTGAAATAAGAATGTATCTAACTTAACGCCTAGCTAAAATAGCTGCTGTATGCTGGAAACCGCATGCAATCTGTACTACTCGAACTTCCGGATCTTCTAAGGCGCCCAGCTTTACTTGAGTTGGTACCAAGTAGTCAAAGTCGTTGCCGAGGCCCTGTACTCGGATGAAAACAAGATCAGGACTTCGACCAAAGAGGTGATATATGTTCAGTTTGCGCAACAGCCATTTCTTTGTGGCAGATCGCGGCTGAGTCGCAAAATGTACATAAGATCCGACGCTTTGCCATCCCGTCGCGACGAACTTGAGTTTTTGGTTGTCGAATCAGCCCCCCTTAAGCCAGCCCCTAGTCCTGATTTACCAATTTCGAGCTCACCAGATACTCGCGGCTCATCTGCATTTCAAGTCTCCGAGCATACAGTCTCTCGAATACTTCTGCTTTCCAACCTTCCAGAGCAAGTAGCGTCCCATGCCACCAGTGACTCAACGGCGGCAGTCGTTTCAGCCAGCGCCGCCTATTCTTCAGACCGGGAGCTCGACTTCGTGACAGACGAGCTTTCGCGAAAGATGAGTGTCTTGTTTCC